TTCCGTAGCATCGAGCCCTGGCAGTTAAAGTTGCTCATGCTGCAACCCCTTAATACAGTTCCTCATATTGTGGTGACCGCCAACCATAAAATTATTTTCATTGTTACTTCATAATTGTAATTTTTCTACTGTTATGAATCATAATGTAAATATCTGATATGCACGATGCATTTTCAGTCACTGGACCAAATTTGGCACAAATACCTGTTATGCCCAAATTTGAATACTGGTCAGGTTGGGGGAAATAGACCTTGACATTTGGGAGTTGTAATTTCTGGGATTTGTAGTTCACCTACAATCCAAGAGCATTCTGAGCTCCGCCAACAATGGAATTGAACCAAACTTGGCACACAGAACTGCCATGACCAACAGAAAATACAGTAGGCTGAGAGGCCAGCCAATCACAGCAGAATTTGCCTTCTGTTTCCAAAAATGAAGACAAGGAGTGGAGAGATCTTCAGCCTTCTCTGCCAAAGGGGTTTCTAAGACCATCAGAAATATGTGTTTTCTGATGATATTTCGTAACCACTCTGAAACCTCCCCTTGACATCTCCCCCCCCCCAGCCCCCGGGTCCCGACTACCAGGTTGAGATACACTGCCCTAGAGAGTCTAGTTCATTGCCCTGAAGTATAAAATAGTTTATTGTCATACTATTGCACAATGAAATTAAATGACTTTTCCAGCACACGCACACCCATTCACACCCCAACCACCACCACAAGGCTCCGAATGCCACATCAGTGTGAAACCATGGAGTTCAACATAGCCACAGCTCTAGGATTAAAAACTATCTCAGTCTGTTTGTCCTTGTCTCCCTTTACCATCTGCCAGTTGGCAAGTATGACTCTTAGTTCTGAGAAAAACTATGGTTCTGAGAAAAACTATTGAGAACTAAATCAGACTATCTTGGAAGATATAGTACAGAGGACTGAACTGGAGCTCTTGATAAAAGACTAAGTAATGTCAGACCCCTGCATTTGCGCATTTAACTTTTGTGAATTTGATTATATGTGGATGCGATTAAGATGTTCTCTATAAGAATGTCTAGGTCTTGTAGGATGACTCTATGGCCAGTCTCTGGAAGTTGACCACAGAATTGTGCTGAAAGACCTAGAGATTCCTCGAGATAACACTTCCCTAGGAAGCTCTAGACAGGGCTGTAGCCAGAAAAAAAAATTGGGAGGGGTTGAAATTTGGGGGGGGGGGGTTGAAAATTTCGGGGGGGGGGTTGAAACCTGCCTCCTAGCTCACGCTGAAGCAAAGAGCACAGCAGGGCAGAGCAGCCTTCCATAGCCTGCAGCTCCGCCCCTGTCAACCACCTCCACCAAGTCTGGCCTCCTTAATGAGAGCATTCAACACACACACCCAACTTGGTTGCTTCACTACATCGGCTATTGCTGCAAGTAATGACAGTGTGAATAAATTGTCAATATTTGCTTGAGATAGTGCTTGCAGTTCTGGAGGGACTCTTATTTTTTGCATCTCATAGACTTAGCATGGGGATTTGGTTAACCAGTTAAAATTCATGAGTAAACCAGTTTTTTTAAAAAAAAAAATCTGAAACATTTCGGGGAGGGTTTGAATCCCCTAAACCCCCCCCCCCCCTCGCTACAGGCCTGGCTCTAGATCTTCCAGTGGAGGACAGATATTCTTAGAGAGGTGTTCTCTCAGGTACAGAAAAGTTGATTTTTTAAAAAAAGAATAATGGTTTTTCCACTTTTGCTGGAATCCTGACCCACACAAAAGTGGAGAGCCTACTGTACCTCACCATCAAAAATGTTTATTTATTACATTTATATCTCACCCTTCTCACTCCAAAGAGGACTCAAAGTGGCCAGGATTCTCCAGAATGGTGTTAAAAGTAATATCAGACTAATATATAATTGTGTGGTTATACCTCAAACTACCTGGCAAAACTGCCCCCATGTTCTTGGAATGGGGGGAGGGTTTGTGTGCTGCAGCATAACACTCTTAACGAGAGACACCTTCTCTTAAATCCATTGCATTAACTTTTTGTGGTGCCAAAGATGCTTACTGGTAGTATTCACAGGAGATCTGCTGCTTCACAAAGCTGTACCTGTCCTGCAGAGATTTCTCATATGCATTGAGAGTCATTCGGGACTGAGATCCAGCAAAGGCTACCTGGGCCTTGGAAAGCACTAGCTCTTTTGGCCAGTCATTTGATGCCTCTGTATGCAACCCGAGTTCGATTTCCCAGTTGTTGCTCACATCCTTGGCCAAGGCATGGGCCACGTCCACATCTGAGTTCTCCACCGAGCTGCTCACTTGCCGATTGCAATTGCCATGCGCCCGCCAGTCCACACTGGTCAAGGGGAGTCTCTGTAGCTGCCCATCCATTCGAGGGTTTTGGCACAAGGTGCATGTCCCATTGGGTCCATGCCACCGGCTGGCATCTACAACATATGCCCCCTTCCTGGCCAGAGTAGTGATATCAACCCCTTCACCAATGAAATTATAGCCAGGAACAAAGGGAGCTGGCTTCCTGCAGATGGATCTTGGGTACAGCTGGCAATGGCCTGTGGCTACTGGCCGGAAAAAAGAAAGCAAAAGCAGGAGAGAATCCAGGAAGAGGTGATGCTTGGACATGGTAGTTCTGGTAGGATCCTTCATCCCAGAGAGGGAAAGTTAGCTCTTAAATCATCCTGGGGAAAAGAAAAGAAAGGACTTCATGTTTTCCTCAACTTTGCATTCCTCCAAGGAACCCATTAAACATGCAGGAGCCTTCTCCATTTTTAATTGTAGCAACTGGCGCACTTACACTGTAGAATGTAGTTTGACACCACTTTAACTGCCATGGCTCAAGGCTATGGAATCATAGGAGTGGTAGTTTCACATGCCTTCTCTACCAAAGAGTGCTGGTGCCTCACCAAGCTACAATTCCCATGGTTTTATAGTGGAGGAGACGTGGTTTTAAAAGGGGAATTTTCAGATATTTCCCCAATGCCCATATGTCATGATTTACTGCCATATTGGCCTATTTCTGCAGTAGGCCTATGTTCACAGAAAATGCTGATTGTTTGAGAAATCAGTGCTCAAAGAAGAAGTTACTACTCAAGGATAACAGTATATCCGGACAAAACCAGCTAGCTGTTGGCTAGTTAGAACCCCCAAGTTTCCCAGTCGCTCTGAAGCCATGTTTGCAACAGACTAACAGATAAGATACAGTCATGGTCAGAGAACAATGGACTGTAGTTATGTTATAGTTGTGCCATTGTTAGGATCCCACGTGTGCTATAATGTCAATCAAAATTATAAACAACTAATGAACAACTGCATAGCTAGCTTAGACTAATGAAATGATTTGTCTTTGGGAACCATGAAAATGTATATTCCATTTACTATAAATGCTCTGCAGCCCCATTGGGGTTGCGACAAACCCTTTGATTGCATCCCTGTATGCTTGTTTGTCGTTATTGCTATGGCCACGCAATAATAAATAGTTTTTTGCAGTTTAAAGGATTCAACTTTCGTGGTGTCCATCCTTGCCCTCCCTATTGGAAAGGGGGCTTCTGCCTTTTGGGAAATATTTTGGTTTCGTTGCCCCTACAATAGGAGTGTTAAACTGCACTAATTCTACAGTGCAGATACACACACCTTCAAATTAAAATCCAAGCCTTGAAGAATTAAACATCAAAAACGGGCCGGTCTGAGTTTCCTGGCATTCAGATATTTTAAATCTCATATTCTGTCTATTCCAGATATGAGGACAATTGTGGGTTTGAGCGATGAGATGAAATGCTCGCCCATCCCTACTCACAACAATAGAGTGCTTCAGGGGGGGAAAAAACTGATCTGCTATGAGCGAGTTTCAGTAAAACCCAAATGGATCAGGGAAAACTGAAAGGCACAAAAGATTGTGTCATTGTCCATTTCCAATGCAGGAATATGAACACACACACACACACACACACACATATATAAATGCTCTGTGCATAATGAGTACCTTAAAAACAAAAGAACCAATGAACGAAACCACACCAAATTTGGCAACAAAATGTCTCACAACACAAGGAGTGACCATCACTCAAAAGATTATTATTTTGTCGTTTGGGAGTTGTAGTTGCTGGGATTTATAGTCCACCTATAATCAAAGAGAATTCTGAACTCCACCAGTGATGGAATTGAACTAAACTTGGCACACAGAACTCCCATGTCCAACAGAAAATACTGGAAGGGTTTGGTGGGCATTGACCTTGAGTTTTGGAATTGCAGTTTACCTCCATCCAGAGAACATTGTGGACTCAAACAATGATGGATCTGGACCAAACTTGCCATGGATACTCAATATGCCCAAATGTGAACACAGATGGAGTTTGGGGAAAATAGACCTTGACATTTAGGAGTTGTAGTTACTAGGATGTATAGTTCACCTACAATCAAAGAGCATTCTGAACCCCACCTATGATGGAATTGGGCCAAACATCCCACAAAGAACTCTCATGACCAACAGAAAATACTGTGTTTTCTGGTGGTCTTGGGTTACTCTTCTGACACCTCCCTGGTGACCCCCCCCCCCCCGGGTCTTGACTTTCTAGGTTGAAAAGGCTGCCTTAAGGTCATCCAGTCAAACTCCCTTCACCAGGGCAAGAAAACGTAATCAAAGCCCTCCTGACAAAGGGCCATCCAGCCATTCACACACACACATATATGTATATGACAGACGCAGTATCAAAGATTTGAAAGGGATCCCTAAAGAAGGACAATGATATGTTGCCTGTTCCAGAGTAGGCAAACCGAACAATCTCCACATCAGCACTGGCAAAGAAACAACAAGAAATACTGTTTACTCACAAGCATAAAGTCATTACATATATTAGAAACCAACACTTTCTCATTACTTTATTTTCCAGATCAGCAGACTGGGCCACAGCAACGCGTGGCAGGGGACCGCTAGTGTATATACATACACACACACACAAATCCTCCTTAGCTTCTCTGATCCAAGTTTTTGAACTTATAGAGGGGATTTTTAACTCACCGGCTCCTTCTTTCAGCAGACAAGGCCGTTTTCAATGGCAAGCTCAGCAAATGTGGTTGGTCTGCCTTTTTTGGGGTATTTCTTTCTTTTGAGTGGCACAAAATTCCACTTCCAGGGTATTTGGCTTGAATTATTGAAGAATCGGAAAACGAGGGGGAAAAAACCCAAGATGGAGGACTTCCCTGTTGGTTCTTCTGAATGGTGGTCTGTAGGTGTGTGGAGGTTTTAATATTCTGTAAGCTGCCCTGAGCCTGGATATGTGGAAGTGGGAGTGGGTGGGATGCACATGAATAAAATTGGATGAAACAAAAAGAAGTCGATTCTTAAGCGCTGGCATCATCTTTGGCATTATTCCTCCAGCTTTTCAAACACAAAGATCATCTAGCATCTGGATTGAATTTGATGGGCTATTGTTTTTCTCCCCAATTTGTGGTTGTGGGAATTGGGTATGTTTAGTTTGGAGAAAAGATGCTGAGAGGGGACATGAGTGCCATGTTTACATATATGAAAGAATTTCACATTGAGGAGGGGACAAGCTTTATGCTGATCCAGAGAAACTAGGATGCAATGGAGCAACTGATTCAAATTTTAGGAAAAGTGATTCTATGCAAACATTAGGACGAATTTCCTGATGGTAAGAGCTGGTCTACAATGGAATATGCTGCTTGGTGTAGTAAAATCTGGATGGCCATCTGACGGGAAGGCTTTGGTTGTGTTCCTGAATAACAGGGTCTGGACTGGATGGCCTTTGCGGTTTCTTCCAACTTTGGGAAAAATATACTTATTTCCAGCACCACAAACTTACTCAGGACAATGATGGTATCTTCTTCTGCCATGGTTGAAATTTCATGTTGATTTGGATATCCCACTTCTGCAGGCCAAAAGAGAATGTACCAGGAGAATATCTAGAAAACAAGTTCTCAACCTACTTTGTTCCTAATCATTTTGCTTTGCTGTTCAAATTTCCTGCCTGTCTGTTTACAGATAAATGCTGCTGATGTTTTGCTTTGCTCCGAACCTGTGATCATGGTGACACTGCTGCACAAACAGCATGCGGCCTGACTCGCTCTCATGATTAATCTCCAATTGCAATAGATACACAATATCAAACAGAAATACTAGACTCTTTTTCTTTTCCCACTTGTAAACAAACAGCATAAAAATGGACAAAGAACTGTTTGTTTAGCTGAAAGCTCAATAATAAAGCATTGCTACACAAAAACTGGAATTTGGCTAAGAAACTGATCTGTTTAAGCCTAGGTTTCAGTGCTATATTACAAGAGATGTAGTTTTGCAAGGTCTTTAGCCTTCTCTGACAAAGAAGGCTGCCTGGTGATTCACCAACCTACAAGTTCCAGGATGGCCTAGCCTAGCATTGAACCGTGATAGCTCAAGTAGTGCCAAACTGCATTAAATCCACAGCGTAGATGCATCCCCAGAATCTGAGCTAGTGAAAGCCCTGCTTCCCGCCTTCAGGGAAAGAAGTGATTGGCTCGCCCTCTCAGCCAATAGCAAGGCAAGGTGCTACTACTTCCTCTCCTGCTTTTCCACTTCCTCTTTCTTCTTGCTCTGTTCCTTGGGAGTGGTGTGGCTCGGTTTGGTCTCTGCAATTGCATCCATTGCTAATCCAAGGTGAGTTTTTGCCATCCGTCTTTATTATGATTTTGGAAAGAGTCACAATAGGAAGAGGGATGGAGGGGAGGTCTATTTTTTTTTGCATTAAATAATAATATATGCAACGCTGCAATGTGTAACGCGTTGCTCGTTATTTTGGACCCCTGGCGCTTTTAACATGCTGTTCAGTATCTTGGAAATAATATTTTTATTAATATTTACATGCACCAAAACTACATTTAACACTCAACAAATGCAAACCAAAAGGGGCATGCTTACAATACAAAAAATATTAGAAAATAAACCATTGTTAGAATTTGTAAACGACCATGCTATCTAAAAGTGATATTATCCAGATATCTTTTATGCAGTCATAATCCTATATCCAGCTCCTTTTGCAATACAGCAAGTAATTAATTGCAAGTTAAGACTAATAAAGAGAAGCCTAACTTGATGCAATGCAGTTTTTTAAAAAACAGCTTTGTGAATGTAGTTTGCAATTTCTGTTACTTACTTACTTCATTTATATACCACTTTTCTCAGCCCTTAGGCAACTCAAAGCGGTTAACAGCAGCAATTTCAATGCACAGATTACAAAACTATGGGAACATTTAAAAAGAATAGCATAACAACAATTAAACATCAATATGACAAATCAATCGTGTCTCATCAATAGAATCAGAATCCAATCTCATCATCCGTTATTCCATATTCCTGTAATCAATTACACTGCCTAATCGAATGCCTGTTCGAACAACCAGGTTAAACAAGCAATTAAATTGATTTTATTTTAATTTGCACTTAAAAGTATTTTTCATAGAGTTAGAAGAGACCTCGTGGGCCATCTAGTCCAACCCCCTGCCAAGAAGCAGAAAACAAATTCAAATTTTTGGTTGGTTGTTTGAGAGTTCGAGTTGTTTTGAGCTCCAGTAAAGACAGAATCTACCATATAAATATTGGTATCCAAATTAGTATTTCAATAGATGTTTATCTATATAAATAAAAATGTAATGTTCGTTTGTGGGATTAACAGAACTCAAAAACCACTGGACAAATTGACACCAAATTTGAACACAAGACACCTAACAACCCAATGTATGTCCTTCACTCAAAGATTTGATTTTGTCATTTGAGAGTTGTAGTTGCTGGGATTTATAGTTCACCTACAATCAAAGAGCATTCTGAACTCCCATCAACGATGGAATAGATCCAAACTTGGCACACAGAACTCTCATGACCAACAGAAAATATTGGGAGGGTTTGGTGGGCATTGTCCTTGAATTTGGGAGTTGTAGTTCACCTACATCCAGAGAGCACTGTGGACTCAAACTGATGGATCTGGACCAAACCTCACACAAGCACTGACTATGCCCAAATAGGAACACAGATGGAGTTTGGGGAAAATAGACCTTGACATTTGCGATTTGTAGTTACTGGAATTTATAGTTCACCTACAACCAAAGAGCATTCTGAACCCCACGAATGACAGGATTGGGGGCAAATTTCCCACACAGAACCCCCATGACCAACAGAAAATACTTAAGGCCATCCAATCCAACTCCCTTCATCAGGGCAAGAAAACGTAATCAAAGTCCTCCTGACAAAGAGTCATCCACCCATAGATATAGATAGATAGATAGATAGATAGATAGATAGATATGATTCACACACACAGAGATATACTATCATAGATTTGAAAGGGACCCTTAAAAGAAGGACAATGATATGTTGCATGTTCCAGGGTGGGCGAACCAGACACTTTCCACATCAACACTGACAAAGAAACAGCAAGAAATACTGTTTACCCTCAAGCATAAAGAAATTACATAAGATTAGAAACCAAAACTTTCTCATTACTTTATTTTCCAGATCAACAGACTGGGCCACAGCAACGCGTGGCAGGGGACAGCTAGTTCCAAATAACTTGGATTAGTCTAACCTTGCCAGCTTTGGACAGCTTTCCTTTCCTATCTTCAAATTAGGTTAACATTGAAATGCCTTTTTCTTTGCTGGGTCCCCATAATTTTTGAGCCATCCAAGTTTTCTTTTTACCTTTATGTGTGTGTTCTGTTAATATTTCTCCCTCTCTTATGTTCAGCAAGGGAAAAAATGGACAGGTTGAAGCACCTGCATCATCAAAACAGTATCAGATCTCAACAGAAAGCCCCTTTTTTGCATGAACACCTTGCAAGTTTCTGAGAAGCAGCTGCGTTCCAAGATGGACTGAGCAAATACTGAAAATGCCCCGGTTTTTAATAACCTGGTAGCAGTATAGGAAAGGTATGATCTTGATTTCTTGTGTGAAGTAGTAGAAACTCAATTGGTTTCTTCCTTTCTGACTGAGAAGTTTAGCAAGTCTGCTATGATGAACTGCATGTTCTGTCCGTGTTTCACCTGATTAACCCTGATTATAAACATGCCCTGAGCAGATGCTTCTCCTTTTGCACAGTGGTCCTCTCCACAAAATGGCTGATATTTGTCAGTAATGTAAGAATTATCTTCATCCAGGCATGATGTTAACATGTTCTGGTTATAAGTTGTTATGCTATACAAAGATGGCAGGTAAAGATAACTTAATCTTAAAGATGACTACCAGACAATGTTACCCTTATGTGAGAACTAAGCCAGGCCAGCCCTGGTTAGTACTTGGGTTGGGGGCTACCTAGAAATCCCATATGCTGTATGCTAATATTTTAGAGTAAGCATGAGCAAACTTGGGCCCTCGGGGTGTTTTGGACTTCAATTGCAGCAATACCTAACAGCTGGTAGGCTGTTAGGAATTGTGGGACTTGTAGTCCGAAACATCTGGAGGGCCCAAGTTTGCCATGTCTGTTTTAGAGAAAATAACTGACAAAACTTGCAATATTTCTTGCCTGATACAACACAGAAATTCATGCAGTCTCTTTAAGCCAATAAGTGACTTGAAGGCACATAAACACACACTAAAAAAGGCTAAGCGTTGGAAGTTCAGGCATTGATCAGATATCTCTAAAAGGAATAAGGAAACATATTTATTACGGCGCAGTGGGTTAAAGCACTGAACTGCTGAGTTTGTTGATCGAAAGGTTGCAGGTTCGATTCCGGGGAGCGGCGTGAGCGTCCGCTGTCAGCCCTAGCTTCTGCCAACCTAGCAGTTCGAAAACATGCAAATGTGAGTAGATCAATAGGTACCGCTCCGATGGGAAGGTAAGGGCGCTCCATGCAGTCATGCCGGCCACATGACCTTGGAGGTGTCTGTGGACAATGCCGGCTCTTCGGCTTAGAAATGGAGATGAGCACCACACCCCAGAGTCAAACATGACTGGACTTAATGTCAGGGGACAACCTTTACCTTTAGTGGTTTAATAATAACACTATGTAACACAATTGTTGTTCCCTGGTTATAAATGCCATTTCCAAATGGATTCTAGCATAACAATGTAAAAAAGATTTATTTAACTACAAAAACTTTGTTTTTGCGGGGCATCCCGCGGCACATTTTGCTGTAGTTTTTCAATGAATATCTCATCGAGTCTCAACCAATTCAGCATAGTTTGTGGCAGCCACGAAAATGAAGTTTCTGGAGTATACTTTCAAAGTCAACATCGCACAATTATACAGAAAATAAAACTTCCAAACCAGGAACAGATTTTTTTTTTCAGTTTTGGTTACATACCGTAATAATACGGTTTAGAAAGCTGGATGTTAGTTTTCAGTTAACAGAATTCTTAGACAACGTTGCATCAGGTTCATGAGACTTTCACTTCATTACATCTTAAACTGTGTATCAACAAAGTCTGTAGTAGAAAGTGAAGAAACGGGCCTTTGTAGCATAAAAGGAATTGTAGGTGTGATTAAGAGATTAATGCATTTTTAGTATCAATAGTTAAAGATTTGTTACTTATTACAGAGATGAGAGTTCTGAAGAAGTAGGAACACAGTGTGGATGTGTCCTCTCTCCTTCATAAATAATGTAAGTATGGAATTTCCGTCCGAGGCAAGTGTTTGGCTATTTATGTAGGAGGACCTACATGTTAGGACGAGGCTTTCCTGAGATTCAGTGCCTCATAAAAAGTATAGATTATGGGGGAATGGGCATTAACTTAGTATGATAAACATAGAAACTCATGATGACCGTTCCTCTTGCTGTCATAAGCCTTGGACAGTAAGATTTTGTGTCATCAAATATAAAAATTGGCCTTTCTTCACTCAAGGTGTCTTTGGATGGGTTTGGCTGTCCGGTGGCACCGTTGAACTTTGCGGGGTCAAACATTCTGGGAAAGGGAGGACTTTTAGAACATGACTTGAAATTGCTCTCTTTTAGTGGGTAATATGAACGAGTGTGCAAAATAGAATTCTTCCATACAATGAGGATTTTGATGTTTGTTTTCTTCATGGATTAACTTATTTTAAAATATTTGCATTTCCCCCCACAGGGTTGTTGAAGATGAGCTTTAAAAGGAAAGGTTTCCCGGTTTCCTGCAGGAAAAGTTGAGTGGAAGAGAGCATTTTACCCATAATACATCCTTAGTCTTTTTTGGAAGAGATGTGCGGAACCCATTTGTGATAAAAAAAAAGTTAATGTCTGAATGAATTTAACATTTCCGTATTGTCACATTTAACAGGTTTAAACTTAATAAAGTGAATTATTGACTTTTTTCTGGAACTGTTCTTTTCTTAACATTGATTGTGCATCAAGTTGCCTAAAATAAATGGCTGACTTTCTGGAACTGAAGTTTTCTTAACATTGACTGCATCAAGTTATCTAAAATAAATTCTTGACTTGTTTCTGGAACTGACACTTTTAGAATATTGATTACATCACAAAATACTTAGGCGATCTCTCGTCACCTGGCCTTCCAAGTGTAGTGTCTTGGCAGTGAATATGTAGGTGACTATGGAGACCTATTCTTGATCCACATGTTCTTCCACAGTGAGGACATTGGTTTCCAGGTGGAAGGCAGTCCAGGTCAGGGCTGGCTTGATGCGCCTTCCTCTTGGCACTTTCCTCGCTATCACCCTCTATTCATGCCTCTGAATTCCACAGCACTACTGGTCGCAGCTGACCTCCAGTTAGAGCGCTCAAGGGCCAGGACTTCCCAGTTCTCAGTATCTATGCCAGAGTTTTTATACTGGGGGTGCATACTCAGCAGCAGAATAGCAAAGCACAAGGGCAGATGCCTTCACTGTATCTGGTTGTGATCTCCAGGGTGTGCCAGTCAGCTTTCGTATGATATTTCTAGCACCCACGTTTTGCTTGATACTCAAGTGCTTCTTGTATGTCAGAGCACAGTCCAGGGTAACTCCATGTATTTTGAGTGTGCTGTGATGCTCCAGTGGGATTCCTTCCTAGATAATCCTCAGAGCTCAAGTTGCTTGTCTGTTCTTAAGATGAAAAGAACACATCTGTTTTAGATGGATTATGAATCAGCTAGTTTTTCCTGTAATAGGCAGTAAGAGCACCTAAAGCTTTGGAGAGCATCTGTTCAACCATTTCAAAGCTCCCTGCTTGGGCGGTGATGGCAGGATCATTAGCATAGATGAAACTTTTTGTCCCTAATGGCAGTGGCTGATAATTTGTGTGATTGAGTGAGCACACTCCCATGAGGCAGGACATTCTTCTGTTTTCGCCATTTGCTTCTCTGGCCCTGGAACTCAATAAAAAAAGCTGTTTTGTCACAGATTTCCTATGAAGCAGGGGAGGTGGCAGTCCTTTGTGATATAAGTTTTTCTCAAGAGAAGATGATTTACAGTGTCATAAGCTGCTGACAAGTCTATGAAGACAGCTGTAAACTGCTGCCTTTCAAAATCTATGCTGAGTCAGGTTCAGCACTTGTGATGTTCAGCTTTTGCCTTTCCTGAAGTTAGCTTGCTGTGGAATCATGCATGGGCCTATTTTTTCCATAAACAAGTATCTCCAGAACTTTGTAAAGATGGCAGCGTCCTAAGGCGATACCTCATTGTCTGAGTAGGATAGTCTTCCAGGATCAGTGTGCTGGTGGATCCATAGGTGACTGGAGCCCGCAGGGTTTCCAGGTGGAAGATGGTCTCGGTCGGGGTTGGCTTGACACGCCTTCCTCTTGGCACGTTTCTATCTTTCGCCCTCCATTCGTGCCTCTTCAAATTCTGCAGCACTGCTGGTCACAGCTGACCTCTTGATCTGCATCTTCCGCAGTGAGGGCATTGGTTTCCAGGTGGAAGGCGGTCTCGGTCGGGGTTGGCTTGACGTGCCTTCCTCTTGGCACGTTTTTCTCTTTCGCCCTCCATTCGTGCCTCTTCAAATTCTGCAGCACTCCTAGTCACAGCTGACCTCCACCTGGAGTGCTCAAGGGCCAGGGCTTCCCAGTTCTCAGTGTCTATGCCAGAGTTTTTAAGCTTGGCTTTGAGCCCATCTTTAAATCACTTTTCCTGCCCACCATCATTCCATTTTCCGTTCTTGAGTTCGGAGTAGAGCAACTGCTTTAGGAGACGGTGGTCGGGCATCCGGAAAACGTGGCCGGTCCAGCGGAGTTGAGGACGGAGGACCATCGCTTCAATGCTGGTGGTCTTTGCTTCTTCCAGCACGCTGACATTTGTCCGCCTGTCTTCCCAAGAGATTTGCAGGATTTTCCGGAGGCAGCACTGATGGAATCGTTCTAGGAGTTGCATGTAAAGGCACACAACATAATTGGACTCAGATTTTTGTAAAGGGTGTGATATGACTAGAAATAAATGCGGACCAGTTAGCCTTTACATGAATAATCCCTTGATCAGGACATTACTAAGAATTAGTATAACATCTGGTCGAAATTAATGTAGAGAAATGCTTAAAATCAAAGGTACTGGAAGAACAATAATGCATTCCACAAAGTGATTCAGCTTTCCTCATAGTTGTGGTCAATGTGTCAGGAATTATACATTTTTTCTGTGACTGTGGTCGGGCATCCGGACAACGTAGCCGGTCCAGCAGAGTTGATGGCGGAGGACCATCTCTTCAATGCTGGTGGTCTTTGCTTCTTCCAGCACGCTGACATTTGTCCGCCTGTCTTCCCAAGAGAATTGCAGGATTTTCCGGAGGCAGCGCTGATGGAATCGTTCCAGGAGTTGCATGTGACGTCTGTAGACAGTCCACGTTTCACAGGCATATAGCAGGGTTGGGAGGACAATAGCTTTATAAACAAGCACCTTGGTCCCTACGGATGTCCCGGTCCTCAAACACTCTGCTTCATTCAGAAAAATGCTGCACGTGCAGAGCTCAGGTGGTGTATTTCAGTGTCGATGTGGAGAGGTGACTGCCAAGGTAGCAGAAATGGTCAACATTTTCTAATGTTACATCATTAAGCTGTATCTCTGGCATTGGAGAGGGACATATGGACATTGGGAACATCGTTGAAAATTCCCTTTTAAAACTACGTCTCCCTCATCGTGAAGAACTGGGTGGACCAAGCTATGCGCTTCTAAGAGTTGGGCAGCCATTTTGAAAGGCCATCTTCCTGCCAAGGAGTCACCCCTTCGATTTAACCTCCCCTGCCTTTCAGAGAATGGTATGCTCCATTGCTATACTATCTCCCCTACCCCCCTCAGTCACTGCAATGGTTGCTTCCATGTCTCTCAGACAGGGCTTAATAGAGAAGGCGGAGCTTAATAGAAAAGGCGGGAACAACAAAGTGACAGGAAGCTTCAGACACAAAGGAGTGTGTTTCACCTCAGCATTACCTTTTCCTGCCTTTGTTCAAACGTGTTTCAATTAGATAATATTACCATATTGTCTCTCTCACACACAAACAACCCAGTCTTAACTCTAAGAGACTGTATCTATACCAGGCATAGGCAAATTTGGGCCTTCCTGGTGTTTTGGACTCCAACTCCCACCATTCCTAACAGCCTCAGGCCCTTTTTTTTCCTCTTCCTTAAGCGGCAGAGGGGGAAAAATAAGGGGCCTGAGGCTGTTAGGAATGGTGGGAGTTGGAGTCCAAAACACCAGGAAAGCCCAAATTTGCCCATGCCTGGACTACACAGACTTGAGGATACCTCTGTGTAATGTCAGCTAAATTCATGACAGGATGCTCCCAAATATGGACAGTTGGAATTGCTGTATTATTATTATTATTATTATTATTATTATTATTATTCTCACTTTAAGGCTCAAGTCAGAGGGATAAAGCAACACTATTGAACTTGAAAAGCCTTGGAAAATATTATTTTCCTTCATGATCAGCTTTTGTGGTCTCATGATCCTTGGGTTGGATTGACACTGCCATATAATCCATCTCAAAGCTTTTTGACAAATGAATTCAATTGAGGTCAATTTACACATCGCTTAGCAAAATATACTATTTCATCGATGAGTCTGCATAATAATTGTAATTGGTCTTGAATGTCATACTACCCCTGTGTTCTACGAGGGTTGAATGAAAAATAATGCCTCCACCATCGTAACTCCTCAACAGGTGGCAGTACAGGTACTGGCTTGTTCAGTAGACTCTCCTCTACAGTTCCTCTACACCAGAGGCACTCCAAGTGGCCAGATACTGGTCAAAGGACATTTAATCAGCTACCAAGTTTGCAAAATTTGTGTTTTTTTAAAATCTGTTTGTTTGTTTTGTTCTGTTAGAAATGTAATACAATGTTCTGGTTGCGGATGACACGATAAATAAATAAAATACAGTTCCATTTTGGCGGGAAACCTTAGCATTGAACGGTTATGTTGTTAAAGTGCGAAGTATGGAACCCTGCGCAGACGGTCGGTCAATGCGGCTTAAGCAACGTGCAGTCATTGAATTCTTGACAGCAGAAGGTGTCACCTCAATATCTTTAGACTTACTCGCCCAATGACGCACAGTACTCACATCAACACAATCACCATAAACGGCTTGCATTCTCTGATGAATCTCCTTTGGGGTGACACCTTCCATACTTTGCATTTTAACAACACAACTGTTCAATGCTAAGGCTTCCCACCAAAATGGAACTGTAGAGGAGAGTCTACTGAACAAGCCGGTACCTGCCACATACCAGTACTGCCATCTGTTGAGGAGTTACAAAGGTGGAAGCATTACTTTTCATTCAACCCTCGTACTTTGGTCAGACCACAACTGGAATCACACTGTGTCCAATTCTGGGCACCGGAATTAAAGGGAGATGCTGACCAGCTGGAATGTGTCCATAGGAGGGGTGACTCAAAGGATCAAGGGTCTGGAGAACAAGCCCTATGAGGAGCAGCTTAAAGAGCTGGACATGTTTAGCCTTCAGAAGAGAAGGCTGAGAGGAGATATAATGAGGGACATGTATAAATATGTGAGGGGAAGTCATAGGGAGGAGGAAGCAAGCTTGTTTTCTGCTGCCCTGGATACTCAAACCTTCAAACAGGAAAGGAGATTCCACCTGAACATTAGGAAAAACTTCCTGAGTGTGAGAGAGAGAGCTGTTCAGCAGTGGAACTCTCTGTCCCAGAGTGTGGTCGAGGTTGCTTCTTTGGAGGCTTTTAAGCAGAGCTGGATGGCCATCTGTCGGGGGTGCTTTCAATGAATTTTCCTGCTTCTTGGCAAGGGGTTGGACTGGATGGCCCATGAGGTCTCTTCCAAGTCTATGATTCTATGTATCTATGATTCTAATGCTTAATATATATTTATATCCAGGTGTTATTGTGATTTGTGTGATTTTTGTCTTGCCCTTTATGTTAAAATGTGCTTTGATTTGTATTGTATTATGTTGTGAACCACTTTGGGTCCTGTTAGGGAGAAAAGCGGAATATAAATAAGATTTATTATTATTATTATTATTATTATTATTATTATTATTATTATTATTATTATTATTTGAAACACAACAAGATGAGTCCACAGCAGACACTCTGCTGGCTGTTGTATTGGATCACACGTGGGACACTTCCCAAGTGTCTAGGACTGTGTGATGTATCGGTGAATAATGTGTGCAGATCCCAGTAAGGTGGCCTTTTGCAACTGGCAGATGGTAATTTTGTCAGCGTTGATTGTGTTTAAGTGTAGGCCAAGGTCTTTAGGCACTGCACCCAGTGTGCGAATCACCACTTATTATTATTATTATTATTATTATTATTATTATTTTACTGACACAAAAACACAGTATATCACAGCAAACAAGATACATATGCTGGATTTCGTATCACAAAATCACAAGTCGAACACAAGTGTTTAGGACTGTGTGATGTATTTTCGTAGATGTGTGTAGATCCAAGTAAGGTGGCCTTTTGCGGTTGACAGATCGTGATTTTATCAATGTTTATATGGCGGCTGAGGTCTTTTGGCACGACACCCAGTGTGCCAATTGCCACTGGGACCTCCTGTACTGGTTTATGCCAGAGCCTTTGGAATTCGATTTTGAGGTCCTGATAACGGCTGAGTTTTTCCTGTTGTTGTTGTTGTTGTTGTTGTTATCTGGATGCACAAACCAGATTATATGGCAATGTAGATGGGACCTTAGAGAAATTTAGTTTGCTACTGTGGGAAACAGGATCCTTGAGTAGATAGAAAGGTCTTGTCTTTTCTCATCCTTTCTTTCTTTTTTTTTAGATTCAGAGTATAAAAGAGTCTGTAAAATATATATTTAAAAATGTCATTTGACTTTTCTGTCCCCTTTAACACATATATTGGGTTCCTCCTGGGGCCTGAAGTGTTTGCATTTGAGAGCAAATCTCAGTTCTGATTGTGATACTATAAATGGAGGGACTAAATGGTCATGAATGATGCTCTCTACCATTTGGCATAAGGAATTTTGAAATATTGTTTTAATATTTCTTTTGCTTCATAGGTGCGTCGAATGCTATATACTCTCCTATAGGAAGTGCATGTAATATATTTGAAGCTGCCCCATCATCATGTCTGTCTGTGAGGACATGCTTCTCTGCAATTACCGCAAGTGCCGTGTCAAACTTTCCGGCTATGCGTGGGTCACGGCCTGCTCTCACATTTTCTGCGACCAACACGGCAGTGGGGAGTTCAGCCGTTCGCCAGCCGTCTGCCCGGCTTGCTCCAGCGCCCTCTCCGGCAAATTGGATATTGTCCGGACAGAACTCAGTCCTTCTGAGGAATACAAGGCCATGGTTTTATCTGGACTGCGGCCAGAGATTATCCTAGACATTAGTTCCAGGGCTCTGGCTTTTTGGACCTACCAGGTAAACACATTTTGATAGATGGAGAAGACCTAGGGCAGGCAAGGGCAAACTTCGGCCCTCCAGATGTTTTGGACTTCAACTTCCACAAGGAATTGTGGGAGTTGAAGTCTAAAACACCTGGAGGGCCGAAGTTTGATCATGCCTGGCCTGGGGGGAAGCATTATTGGAAAAATTATTTTAAAGCACCAAGCCTTTATAAATATGACCTAAATAACTTGGACCAAAATGCTGTGACAATTGTTTAAGTAGTTAATATTGCTATATAGTCCAATCCAATACCAAAAATGACATCAAAAATAAGTCACGACATCAGACAGCAAATTCATACTGATCAGAATATCTATTAATATAATAAGCAATCATTGGACAAATTCAATACTTCTAATGAGCATAACCTCTGAGGATGCTTGCCATAGATGCAGGCGAAACGTCAGGAGAGAATGCCTCTAGAACATGGCCATATAGCCCGAAAAAACCTACAACAACCCAATAACAAATAAATTTAGGTGCTCATGTGTATCAAAAAGTTCCAGAGAATGAAAGGCATTTAAATCTCATTATGCAAAAGAGCACATGAAATGAATTTTTTTCCAACCTGGTACCATCTCTGTTTTTCTTCTAAACAAAGGAATTTGAACACTATCTGAAAAATATATAAGTTTCTCATAGTTCTTCTCAGCTGCTCGTGTTTTGGTTTTTTGTGTGTGTCAGGAGCAACTTGAAAAACTGCAAGTCGCTTATGGTCTGAGAGAATTGATTGCAAGGATGTTGCCCAAGGGACTGTGGGAGGCTTCTCTCATGTCCCTGCATAAGAAGCTGGAGCTGACAGACAGGAGCTCACCCCACTCCCTGGATTTGAACTGTCAACCTTTCAGTCAGCGGTCCTGCCTGCACAAGGGTTTAACCCATTGTGCCATCCAGGCTCCGATAGTGTTTTGTTTTGCCCTTGACTATCTCAAACAACATAATGCACAATTTATTTATTTATTTATTTATTTATTTATTTATTTATTTAGAGCTTTTATAACCCAGTCTTCTCAACCTCTGAAGAGGGACTCAGGCCGGCTAACAACAGAAAATTCAACACAAATATAGTAAACATAATAGCATCATAATACATCAATACAAAATACATTAAAATACAGATCATACAATATCATACAATTACAAAAGCCAGGTCGTCAGAATAAAATCACAAATTCATCAATATGCCTCTCTCTGTTTTTCTCAAACTCTATTGAAGTAGAAGGAACGTCATGAGACATCTAGTCCAGTCCTCTTTTTAGAGAAAAAAGAAAATGCAATATATGCTGCTATCAGTATGTATCAAATATTTAACTCAAGACTTCTTTGGTACAAATAGAAGCATATTTTAGTCTGTCAAAGAACAAAACCCAACATCCTATTGTCAAAATAATCTGTGACTCTTCTAAAATGATTATAATGAGATCTATACAATTTTGTGCTATTGAGTATGTTTTTATTGAGTTACTGCACAGCTTAAACATTTGGGAATTGTGCCCAAAAAAGAAGAGAAAGCTAACTGCAGGGTTAGGATGGTGCATCTGAATGTCGCATATACTGACATTTGATCTCTTTTAAAAATGTTCTGTCATGCTTCCCATTTGTTTGTTTTCAGGTTCATCAGGAGCGTTTGTACCAAGAATATACCTATAGCAAAGCACAGGGCCACCTGAAACAGATGGAGAAAGTCTACACCCAGCAACTGCAGAGTAAAGACATTGAGCTGTCCTCCATGAAAAGCGAGGTCTCCTCTTTGAAGAAAGTCCTGGAGGAATACAAAAAGAAATTCACAGAACTCTCGGAGAAACTCATGGAGCGCAACCGCCAGTACCAGAAACTGCAGGGATTGTATGACAGCCTGCGTTTGCGCAACATAGCAGTAGCCAGCCAAGAAGCCGCCCAAGAGCCTCCCATGATGCCTCAGCCTGCTGTCTTTGGTTTCCCTTTGGGTGAGGACAATGGTGATTCGCTTTGGTAGTTCACATATACAATATGAAACATTCATCCATAGTTTTGATAACCACAGTTTCATCTACTCATTCTACAAAAAATATTCCTCCCTGGAAGTGTTTGCGGGCCTTTCTAGGTCCTCTAGTGCAGTGTTTCTCAACCTGGGGGTTGGGACACCTGGGGGGGTTGTAAGGGGGTGTCAGAGGGGTCACCAAAGACCATCAGAAAACGCAATATTTTCTGTTGGTCATAGGGGTTCTGTGTGGGAAGTTTGGCACAATTCTATCATTGGTGGAGTTCAGAATAATAATAATAATAATAATAATAATAATAATAATAATAATAATAAACTTTATTTATAGCCCGCCACCATCTCCCCAAGGGGACTTGGGGTGGCTTTCTTGAGGCCACGCCCATCAATACAATATACACAATATAACACAAAAACACAACAAAAAATAACCTAAAATACAAAAACAATGTATATAAGTGACATAACAATAAAAAGTCAAAAAAATTATATTTCATTACATTAAAATGATTACCATGGGCCGGGCCAAATTCAAGAATGCTCTTTGATCGTAGATGAACTATAAATCCCAACAACTGTAACTCCCATGTCAAGTGTATTTTCCCCAAACTCCACCAGTGTTTACATTTGGGCATCTTGAATATTAATGCCAAGTTTGATCCAGATCCATCATTGTTTGAGTCCACAGTGCTCTCTGAATGTAGGTGAACTACAGCTCCAAAACTCAAGGTCATTGCCCACCAAACCCTTCCAATATTTTCTGTTGGTCATTGAAGTTCTGAGTGCTAGGTTTGGTCCAATTCCATCGTTGGTAGAATTCAGAATGCCCTTTGATTGTCGGTGAACTATAAATCCCAGCAACTACAACTCCCAAATGACAAAATCAACCCCTCTTCCCCCAACTCCACCAGTATTCAAATTTTGGCAAATTTGTGCCAAATTTGGTCCAGTGAATTAAAATACATCCTGCATATTGGATGTTTACATTACAATTCCTAACAGTAGGAAAATTACAGTTAAGAAGTATCAACGAAAATAATTTTATGGTTGGGGGTCACCACAGCATGAGGAACTGTATTAAAGGGTCTCGGCATTAGGAAGGCTGAGAAACACTGCTCTAGTGTGATTCTATGGTATATTTATTGCCCAAGTATAATCAAAATATAGGATTTGCTATTATCCACAGTTTCAGGTATCCTTTGGGAGGTCTTGAAGCATATCCTCCATTTATCCAGGGGTTGTACTGTTTTAGTATTTTCAGCGGTAGGGTGAAGAATGCTCAAATGTAATAAAGTTAAAGTAATTAAGGACAAAGGATAGTATAGCAGAGCAAAAAGGTCATGATGAAATACTACATGCATTAGAAAGCTGCCTCTTTTGCTAAACCTACCTCGATTACATTTCCATCACAGTACTCTTGTATTGGATGGAGAGCCACTGAGGTGTAGTGGCATGTGTTTTGGTCTATAATTGTTCAAATTCCTGCCATGGAAAGCCTGTTTTTGCTGTGTAGCAATTGAATATGCTGCTTCAGAGTGTGATGGCATTTCCATCTCTGCTGCTTTTAAGCAAAGGCAGGATGACCATCTGTGAGGATGGATCCTGAAGGGCAGGGCATTGGACTAGGTGGTCCTTTGGTCTCTGTGATTCCATATCATTGTGTTCTGTACTAATCTACTTAATAATGTTTTCTTTGGAGTCCCCTTTGGAGTCCCCGGTAGTGCAGTGGGTTAAGCCGCTGAGCTGCTGAACTTGCTGACCAAAAGGTCACCAGTTCAAATCTGAGGAGCAGCATAAGCTGCTGTTAGCTCCAGTTTCTGTTAACCTAATAGTTCGAAAACATGCAAATAGATCAATAGTTGGGTTGTTGTAGGTTTTTCCGGGCTATATGGCCATGTTCTGGAGGCAATTTTTCTCCTGAGGTTTCGCCTGCATCTATGGCAAGCATCCTCAGAGGTAGTGAGGTCTGTTGGAAGTAGGAAAAATGGGTTTATATATCTGTGGAATGACCAGGGTGAGACAAAGGACTTTGTCTGCTGGGGCTAGCTGTGAATGTTTCAGCTGATCACCTTGATTAGCATTCAATGGCTTGGAAGTGCCTGGGGGAAACAAACAGGCACATAAAATCACTCTCAACAAAAGATTCCCCCAGGCACTTCCAAGCCATTGAATGCTAATCAAGGTGATCAGCTGAAACATTCACAGCTAGCCCCAGCAGACAAAAGTCCTTTGTCTCACTCTGGTCATTCCACAGATATATAAACCCATTTTTCCTACTTCCAACAGACCTCACTACCTCTGAGGATGCTTGCCATAGATGCAGGCGAAACGTCAGGAGAAAAATTGCCTCCAGAACATGGCCATATAGCCCGGAAAAACCTACAACAACCCAGTGATTCCGGCCATGAAAGCCTTCGACAATAGATCAATAGTTATCGCTCCGACAGGAAGTTAACGGTGTTCCATGCAGTCATGCTGGCCACATGACTTTGGAGGTGTCTACAGACAATGCCGGGTCTTCGGCTTAGAAATGGAGATGAGCACCAACCCCCAGAGTTGGACACGACTGGACTTAATGTCAGCGGAAAACGTTTACCTTTACCTAATATTGTATTTGTAAGGGACTAAGGACCTTTAAGTAATCACACATTTCTCACTTGCATGTTCCAGGTAATATTACCAGACGCCCTGGGGACACGACCCCCACAAGTATCCAGGGCCAGCATGGCGAGGGAGACTTCCATTTCAAACCTTTCTTCGACTCTTCTCCACCAATGGTTGAGTCTGGGCACAGCTTCTTTTCCTTCGTTTCACCTGGCAACAATCCGGAACAACAACAACCGGGAGGCAATAGAGCCTACAAGATTAAGAGAATGTGAACGGCAATATGTGTCAATCTTCTTGCTGCTGACCTTTTTGAAATTCTAATTTAAGCATCATTTTTTCCCTAAAATTTTATGTTTTAAACAAAGGAAATACAAACTCAGTGAAATTCAGAAGGTGTTGTTTGACTCTCAAATCATCCCTGCCATAGAAACCTTAAACCAAGGCAACCAATATTGAAGAGCAGATGTTCCAGTGACAATTCTTGTTGAAGACTTCTTGCTTCTGTCATGCCCACATATTTTGTGTTCTTGTTATTGATGTAGCCATAGAGGCCACCCCTCAAAATGTATTATTATGGCTCTGTTTGTGATATGATGTATATTTCCTAAAGTAAAATATGTTGAAGACTGTTGCACCTTCTCATTTTTTTCCTCAGTTCTGAAAGCATAATTGTGGTAACATTATTTATACCCTCTTCTTTTGATTGTGGCTTCCAGCAATCTCATTTATGTTGTATAAAACTCTCCCTCTTCCAGTTATGTTATAAACACATATGTAAGGTATTCTTGTTGTTAGTTTTTGCTTGGAGATGCCTGGAAAAACACTCCTTTTCTGTTTAGTGTTTCTGCCTCTAATTTAGAATCTGTACTTTTCCAGTAATTCATATTACTGGGTTGCTGTGAGTTTTCCAGGCTCTATGGCCATGTTCCAGAAGCATTCTCTCCTGCTGTTTTGTCCATATCTATGGCAGGCATCCTCAGAGGTTGTGAGGTCTGTTGTAACTAGGCAAGTGGGGTTCATATATCTGTGGAGAAGAACTCATCTGCTTGAGGCAAATGTGAACGTTGCAATTGGCCACCTTGATTAGCATTGAATGGCCTTGTGGCTTCAAAGCCTGACTGGTTGCTGTCTGGGGGATCCTTTGTTGGGAGGTGTTAGCTAGCCCTGATTGATTCAGGCAGCAACCAGCCAGGCTTTGAAGTTACAAGGTCATTCAATGCTAATCAAGGTGGCCAATTGCAACATTCACTCTTGCCTCAAGCAGACAAAACCTCACAACCTCTGAGGATACCTTTGTTGGGAGGTGTTAACTGGCCCAGATTGAATCAGGCAGCAACCAGTAGCTACAAGGCCATTCAGTGCTAATCAAGGTGGCCACTTGCAACATTCACACTTCCCTCAAGCAGAGAAGAGTTCTTTCTCCCACCCTGGAAAACCCCACTTGTCCAGTTTCCAACAGACCTCACAACCTCTGAGGATGCCTGCGACAGATGTGGGTGAAACCTCAGGAGATAATGCTTCTTGAACATAGCCATACAGCCCGGAAAACTCACAGCAACCCAGTGATTCCGGCCATGAAAGCCTTTGGCAGTTCATATTACTCTCTTCTAGTTTTTGCCATTGATTAAGCTCTGACATTTTTTTTCCAGTTTAAAGAATTTTTTAAAATGTTTAATTCCTGACACATTGACCACAACTATGAGGAAAGCTGAATCACTTTGTGGAATGCATTATAGCTCTTCCAGTAACTTTGATTTTAAGCATTTCTCTACATTAATTTTGACCAGATGTTATACTAATTCTTAGTAATGTCCTGATCAAGGGATGATTCATGTAAAGGCTAACTGGTCCGCATTTATTTCCGGTCATATCACACCCTTCTTTACAAAGAGCTGAATCCAATTATGTTGTGTGCCTTCACATGCAACTCCTAGAACAATTCCATCAGCGTTGCCTCCAAAAAATCCTGCAAATCTCTTGGGAAGACAAGCGGACAAATGTCAGCATGCTGGAAGAAGCAAAGACCACCAGCATTAAAGTGATGGTCCTCTGCCATCAACTCTGTTGGATCGGCCATGTTGTTAGATGCCCGACCACTGTCTCGCAAAGCAGCTGCTCTACTCCGAACTCAAGAATGGAAAATGGAATGCTGGAGGGCAGGAAAAGAGATTTGAAAATGGGTTCAAAGCCAACCTTAAAAACTCTGGCATGGACACAAAGAACTGGAAAGCCCTGGCCCTTGAACACTCCAGCTGGAGGTCAGCTGTGACCAGCAGTGCTGTAGAATTTAAAGAGGCACGAATGGAGGGCGAAAAAGAGAAATGTGCCAAGAGGAAGGCACATCAAGCCAACCCTGACAGACCGCCTTCCACCTGGAAACCAATGCCCTCACTGTGGGAGAAGATGCAGATCAAGAATAGGGCTCCACAGTCACCTACGGACCCACCGCCAGTACACTGATCTTGGAAGACAATCCTACTCGGACAACGAGGGATCGCCTAAATGAATGAATGAAATGAATGAAATTTCTGGTTATATCACACACCCTTCTTTACATAGAGCTAAATCCAATTATGTTGTGGGCCTTCAAGTCTTTTTTGATTCTAAGACGACCATATGACAGGACTTCTAGGGCCTGAGAGAGTGTGACTTACCCAAGGTTACCCACTGGGTGGAAACATAGATAACTTGCCACATTGATTTCAATGCAATAACACTGAGCTTAAACAAGAGTCCGAATGACTAAATATAGCACTTAAAAGTCTGGCTACCAGTATTAAAAAAAAACTCTAAAATCAGGACAGTGAATAAAGAGCAACACTAAAAACAAACAAACAAACAGGGGAATTCCAGACAAGAATCAGTCAGGACCAGCGAACACCTCCCAACAAAGGATTCCCCTGGGCAGCAATCAGCCTGTCTCTGAAGCTGCATGGCAATTCAATGTTAATCAAGGTAGCCAATTGCAACCTTCACACTTGTCTCAAGCAGACAAGAGTTCTTTCTCCCACCCTGGACATTCCACAGATGTATAAACCCTACTTGCCTAAGTTCCAACAGACCTCACAACTTCTAGGGATGCCTGTCATAGATGTGGATGAAACGTCAGGAGAGAATGCTTCTGGAACATAGCCATACAGCCCAGAAAACTCTCAGCAACCCAGAAATATGAACTACTGGAAAAGTACAGATACTAAATTAGAGGCAAAAACGTTATTATTAAATATAATAAATATAAATTAAATTATATGAAATATAATAATATAACATAATATAAAATATTAATTTATTACATTTAAATTGCATTAAATATAATGAATATAAATAATTATATGAAATATAATAATATTATATTTTAATATAATATATATAATACATTTAAATTGTATTAAATATAATGAATCTAAATTATATTATATTAAATATAATTATATTATAATCTAATCTAATAATATTTCATATAATTTAATTTATATTTATTATATTTAATACAATTTAAATATAATTTGATATATATATTTATTGTGTCAGGAGCGAACCAAAACAGTTGTATTGCATTAAAAACAAACAAACAAACAAAACACAAAGTTTGCAGACTTGGTATTCTATTAAATGTCCTTTGACCAGTAGCTGGCCACTTGGAGTGCTTCTGGTGTTGCTGCAAGAAGGTCCTCCATTGTGCATGTGGCAGGGCTCAGATTGCATTGCAGCAGGTGGTCTGTGGTTTGCTCTTCTCCACACTCGCATGTCGTGGATTCCACTTTGTAGCCCCATTTCTGAAGGTTGGCTCTGCATCTCGTGGTGCCAGAGCGCAGTCTGTTCAGCGCCTTCCAAGTCGCCCAGTCTTCTGTGTGCCCAGGAGGGAGTCTCTCATTTGGTATCAGCCATTGGTTGAGGTTCTGGGTTTGAGCCTGCCACTTTTGGACTCTCGCTTGCTGAGGTGTTCCAGCGAGTGTCTCTACGGATCTTAGAAAACTATTTCTTGATTCAAGTCATTGACGTGCTGGCTGATACCCAAACAGGTAATTTAATATAATGCAATATAATATAATGCAATATAATATGATATAATATAATATAATGCAATATAATATAATGCAATATAATATAATATAATATAATATAATATAATGCAATATTCTATTCTATACTAGCCGTCCCCTGCCATGCGTTGCTGTGGCCAGTATGGTGATCTGGAAAATAAAGAGAAAGTGTTGGTTTCTAATATATGTAATTTCTTTATGCTTGTGTTGATGTAGAGATTGTCTGGTTGGCCTACTCTGGAACATGCAACATATAATTGTCCTTGTTTAGGGGTCCCTTTCACATCTATCATACTATGTGTGTGCGTGCGTGAATAATATCTGTATCCATGGCTGGATGGCTCTTTGTCAGGAGGGTTTTGATTACGTTTTCTTGCCCTGGTGAAGGGAGTTGGACTGAGTGGCCTTAAGTATTTTCTGTTGGTCATGGGGGTTCTGTGTGGGAAATGTGCCCCAATTCTGTCGTTCGTGGGATTCAGAATGCTCTTTGATTGTAGGTGAACTATGAATCCCAGTAACAACAAGTCCCAAATGTCAAGGTCTATTTCCCCCGAACTCCATCTGTGTTCATATTTGGACATATGGAATATCCGTGCCAAGTTTGGTCCAGATCCATCATTGTTTGAGTCCACAGAGTAGGTGAACTACAACTCCCAAACTCAAGGTCAATGCTCACCAAACCCTTCTTGTGCTTTCTGTTGGTCATAGGAGTCCTGTTATGCCACGTTTGGTTCAATTCCATCGTTGGTGGGGTTCAGAATGCTCTTTGATTGTAGGTGAACTATAAATCCCAGCAACTACAACTCCCAAATGACAAAATCATAATTTTTGAGTGATGGTCACTCCTTGTGTTGTGAGACGTTTTGTTGCCAAATTTGGTGTGATTTCGTTCATTGGTTCTTTTGTTTTTAAGGTACTCATTATGCACAGAGCATTTTTATAGATATAGATAATATTGATAGTAATATAATAATAATAATTGTTACAATAATAATAATAATAATAATAATAATTGTTATTCCAGTGATTGTGTCCAAATTTGGTTATGTTATGTTAATCCCACAAACGAACATTACATTTTTATTTATATATATTATATTATATTATATTATATTATATTATATTATATTATATTATATATTTTCTGCAGGATTCCTAACAGTCCTAGAGAGAGAAAAGGTGCATTTTCTTTTGCCTGTAATGCAGCCTCCTGACCTTTAGATGTCGCTGCAGAGGCAGAACTTGTCTCTCAAGGAAAGGGCAGGAAAAGGAGGAGGATCCGGGTTGAGTGATCATGGCCGAAGAAGAAGAAGAAAACTCGCAAACTGGGCAAGGTTTGCAGGTAGGGCGAGCCAAAGATCTCACCAGCTTGCCATTCTTTGGTGGCCACGATCAGTGAAGACATGATCCTTGTCAAACCGCTTTGGCTTGGCTTAATTGGCAAGAGAGGCCAGGGATGCATAGCAGTGAATCATGGCAGTTAAAGTGATGTCAGACTTCATCAATTCTGTAGTGTAGATGCACCCTGATAGTCAACAATGGATTCAGTTTCCATGGATTCAAACATTTCTGGTTTGAAACTCCTCTTTAAAAAAAAATACCCAAAAAGCAAAGCTTGATTTTAGCATTTTATATAAAGGATATTATTTAATCTACATTATTGTATATATTGTTGTTGTGGGAACCTTGCATACTGAGGGCTGACTGTCCTTTGAAAGCTTGAAATCTCATCCTGGAAACATTGCTTTATGAATTAGGCTAAATTATCTAGAGCAACAGAAAACACTCTGCACATGTTCAGGTGCATTTTTTGTTTGTTATTACTGTATTTATTTGATTCGAGGATGCACTTTTCCTGCCCATATACTTACTTACTTACTTAGGCGATCGCTCATTGACCAAGTAGGATAGTCTTCCAGGATCAGTGTTCTGGTGGGTCCGTAGGTGACTGTGGAGCCCTATTCTTTGGGCAGTAAGCAATATAAGGAATGAAAAGGTGGAAGGCGGTCTCGGCCAGGGTTGGCTTGACGCGCCTTCCTCTTGGCACATTTCTCTTTTTCACCCTCCACTCGTGCCTCCTCAATTCTGCAGCACTGCTGGTCACAGCTGACCTCCAGCTGGAGCGCTCAAGGGCCAGGGCTTCCCAGTTCTCAGTGTCTATCCCAGAGATTTTAAGGTTGGCTTTGAGCCCATCTTTAAATCTCTTTTCCAACATTCCATTTTCCGTTCTTGAGTTCGGAGTCTTCCCAAGAGATTTGCAGGATTTTCCGGAGGCAGCGCTGATGGAATCGTTCCAGGAGTTGCATGTGACGTCTGTAGACAGTCCACCTCTCACAGGCATATAGCAGGGTTGGGAGGACAATAGCTTTATAAACAAGCACCTTGGTATCCCTACGGATGTCCCGGTCCTCAAACACTCTCTGCTTCATTCGGAAAAATGCTGCACTCGCAGAGCTCAGGCGGTGTTGTATTTCGGTGTCGATGTTGACTTTGGTGGAGAGGTGGCTGCCAAGGTAGCGGAAATGGTCAACATTTTCTAATGTTACACCATTAAGCTGTATCTCTGGCATTGGAGAGGGGTTGGCTGGTGACTGCTGGAACAACACTTTGGTTTTCTCGATGTTCAATGATAGGCCGAGCTTCTCGTTTGCTTCTGCGAAGGTGTTTAGAGTGGCTTGTAGATCTTCTTCTGAATGCGCACAGACGACATTGTCATCAGCATACTGGAGTTCTATAACAGATGTTGTTGTAACCTTGGTTTTGGCTTTCGGTCTGCTTGCCATCTGTCCGATAGATGATTTCCACTTTGGTGAGAAGCTTCCTGTCAACAAGATGAAGTATCTTGTTGCCCATATAAACATCTATTGAAATGGGTATGTCTTAGAATTGCAGGTGCATCTTATATATTTTGTTGTTGTCATTGATACTGAAATCAGTGTGCATCCTACATCAATATAAATGGCATAGAAGGCTCTATCTGTATGGCCGTATAAGACAGTTTAACTGCACTGCATTATTTATTTACTATATTTATATACCGCCCTTCTCAGCCCTCAGGCGACTCGGGGTGGTTTACAATGGCAACAATTCAATACCCCCAAAACCCCATAAAACATTTAAAAACATTAACACATAATATAAAATATATATTATATTAATTGTATAGTTTATTTTGTTTATTGCTTGCTGTTTTTATTGATGTGTTGTTGGGCTTGGCCTCATGTAAGCCGCTCTGAGTCCCTTGGGGAGATGGTGGCGAGGTATAAATAAAGTTTTATTATTATTATTATTATTATTATTATTAAATCATAACAAGAGTATTAAAAATATATATCATTTGCGTCTCCTAATAAAAACATTGTCCAATCTTGTTGTCCAGTAGTTCCAAATTCCTATGTCTTTTAGTTTGCATTTTCAAACGCTTGTTCAAACAACCAATCTTGACTCTTTTCCGAAATGTTAAGAGGGAGGGGGCCGATCTAATGTCCCTCGATCTAATGGCACCGTAGACTCATATAATAGAGTTAAACTGCATTTGGTGTTGTGCAATAGCGATTACAATGTAGAAAGATGGGTGGTTTGTTTTGTAATTTTGTACTGTGTTGGAAATCATAGAATCATAGAATCAAAGAGTTGGAAGAGACGTCATGGGCCATCCAGTCCAACCCCCTGCCAAGAAGCAGGAATATTGCATTCAAATCACCCCTGACAGATGGCCATCCAGCCTCTGTTTAAAAGCTTCCAAAGAAGGAGCCTCCACCACACTCCGGGGCAGAGAGTTCCACTGCTGAACGGCTCTCACAGTCAGGAAGTTCTTCCTCATGTTCAGATGGAGATTACTAGCATGAAGATCTTCTATCTTGGTTTTACATACCTATTTTTTCCTGGTATGTTTCATATAATCATTGAGTTGGAAGAGACCTGATGGGCCATCCAGTCCAACCCTCTGCCAAAAAGCAGGAAAATCACATTTCAACCTGCACTGAGTTACTATACAGATGTAGACATGGTCTAGCTGAGTTGTTTGGTTTCGTCTCCCCATATAAAGTATCTTGAGTTATAATGTTGATATGTTACCATAATGCAGACATGGGCAAACTTGGGCCCTCCAGGTGTTTTGGACTTCAACTCCCATAATTCCTAACTGCCAACTGGCTGTTAGGAATTATGGGAGTTGAAGTTCAAAACACCTGGAGGGCCCAAGTTTGCCCATGCCTGCCATAGTGCCAAGATGTCTTTGTTCTCTGATGATACCATTTGCATTTTGGAAAATTTCCATGGCAGGAACTGGTTGACCAGCTGTACCATTTTAGAGACCGTTACTTTGAGAGCCACAGTGTAGAAGATGCTGGGAAAAAGCAACAAGATGTCCGAGAGAAGATGGAAAAGACTCTTCAGCAAATGGAAACAATGGAAGGTAAGGATAGCAAAATGTACATTTTTGATTTTTTTTTTTAAAAAAAACACCCCATACTTTTTTTGAGTTGCTGTGAGTTTTCCAGGCTGTATGGCCATGTTCTAGAAGCATTTTCTCCTGACATTTTGCCCACATCTATGGCAGTCATCCTCAGAGGTTGAGAAGTCTGTTGAAAACTAGGCAAGTGGGGTTTATATATATCTGTGGAATGTCCAGAGTGGGAGAAAGAACTCTTGTCTGTTTGAAGCAAGTTTGAATGTTGGCCTATAGAGCCGATCACCACTGGGACCACCTTGATTGGCTTTTGCCAGAGTGTTGCAGTTCATTCTTTAAATCCTCATATTGTGTAAGCTTTTCCAGTTGCTTTTCGTCAATCCTGCTGTTGCCTGGGATTGCAACATCAACAATCCATGCTTTGTTTTTTTCCATGATCGTGAAGTCAGGAGTATTGTGCTCCAAAGCTCTGTCAGTCTGAATTCGAAAGTCCCAGAGTAGTTTGATGTGTTCATTTTCATGTTCATTTTCGTGTTCATCTTTTTCCGGGTTGTGATCCCACCAGTTTTTGTCACAGGCAGATGGCATTTATTTATTTATTTATTTATTTATTTATTTATTTATTTACAGTATTTATATTCTGCCCTTCTCATCCTGCAGGGGACTCAGGGCGGATTACAATGTACATATGTATGGCAAACATTCAATGCCATAGACACACAACATATATAGACAGACACTCAGAGGCTATTAACTTTCCCCTGGCCACCAGGGGAGCTGTTGCTTCCTCATTCTTTGCATACTTGCATACTTCCTGGAGATTTTTTATGGCCTCGTAAATCAGTTAATTTGGCCTCCCCTCAAAATGGTACCTAATTTTCCAGATGCAGCTGTCTTTCGGGTTGCAAAGGTTGACAACAAGCTACACAATTTTGGTTGGGAGCTCACTCCGACCCGGGCTGGCTTTGAACTCATTACCTTTCGGTCAGTAGTGATCTTAATGCAGCTGATTCCCAGCCAGCTGCTCCACAGTCCCGGTGCAATAATATTAATAATAATAATAATAATAATAATAATACACCACTTTTCTCCCCAACAAGGAGACTCAGAGCAGCTTACGTTCAAAAAATTCCAGTACAATTTGAAATCTACAAATATATAAACATTAAAACAATTCATTGTCGTTGGTATTTTTTAAAAATCAATTAAAAACCATAAAAAATATCAAAAACTAAAAACATCAGCAATCCTTCACAAGGATACATATCAAAAGCCAGGCAATCTCATGTGATGGAAAATTCTGCAAATGTTCCTCTTCATCCCCAGATCAATAAATACAATAACAGAAAAGAAAGAACAGCCTGCAATCTGTGGTACCCAATATTTATGTCTTGAGTTGGCTATCTTATCCTGTTTAATGGTAGGATGAGACCTGAGCAACATATGAGAAGGAGAGCACTTTCCTGTTATTTCTTTTCATTAGAGTGGTTGTTATTGAGATGTGTCATTATAGCCACGAGCCATTGATAGACATCTCCTCACATAAACACTGTACTGCTAATTGTAGGATTAACTTGTGGTGCTTGAGATCATCTTAAATCCGTTATGAGCCCAATTTTGTGTTGGATTTCATGGATCACTCATGCAATTCTCTTTCCCCTCTTCTCTCCTTGTTTGCTACTAGGCCTCTCTAAGGGTCGGGCTCAGACCCTGATGCTGAAGGGGAAAGCTTTGAATGTGTCTCCAGATTACAATGCCCAGGCTGAAGAGCTGCTTTCCAAAGCCGTCAAGCTGGACCCAGAACTGGTGGAAGCCTGGAATCAGCTGGGGGAGGTTTATTGGAAAAAGGGTGACATCTCTGCCGCCCATACATGCTTTTCTGGAGCTCTCAGTCATGTAAGTCTCCCTACAAGTACTTTCATGAATAGGTGTGGGATTCTAGTTACAAAGGAGCTATTTGGAACCACTGCTGGTTTTTGTGATGACATTTGATGTATTATTTTACTCTATTACTATTATTACACTTATTATTTTACTCTATTGTTATTGCATGTATTATTTTACTCTATTGCTATTATTACATTTTTTCTTTTATTTATTATTATTATTACATTTATTATTTCACTCTACTTATTACTGTTATTATTACATTTCCATTATTTTACTCTATTATTATTTTTGTTACATTTATTATTTTACTCTATTATTATTGGAAGGATACGTAAGCACATTTACATTGAAGAAGGTTAGAATAATGGTTTAATCAGAGTTGGTCAGTCTTATCTTAAATTACAATTTTATATAAATATTCAAAAAACATTAAACCTACTGATGCCTCAATTATTGTAATTTTATTGGTATCTATTTTTATTTTGAAATTTACCAGTAGCTGTAGCATTTTCCACCCTTGGCTTATACGTGAGTCAATACGTTTTCCCAGTTTTTTTGTGGTAAAATAAGGTGCCTCAGCTTATATTCGGATCAGTTTATACTCGAATATATACGGTACACCAGAAGCATCTTTTGCAGAGTCCACTGTAGACACAGACTCATGTAAATGTCTAAAACAGCCACTAGGTGGCATTCAGTAAACCTATTGTTGCCAATTTTTTCAGGGCCTCAACATTGAGCTAAGAGGACCCTATTTGAGGCCGGGACCCACAGTTTAAGAAGCAGTGATGTGAGAAAGGATATCAAATTGTCATTTAATGCAAAATTGAATATCCTTTTCACTACAAGTACTTGTTTCTCCAAGATACTTCACTCCTTTTCTGAAAAGGATTTGCTTGACTCATTTACAGATTGCTACTCAAAATGCCATCATAAAAACCAATAGTTCTAAATAGTTCTAATTATCATTTAAGGTAAAAGTCTTGTCCTATAATATTTCATTTTCAGTCACATACGATTTTGTCTCTTTCCTGCTCCCATGCCTCCCCTTCAGTGCAAGAACAAGGTCTCGTTGCAGAATCTTTCTATGATCCTCCGACAGCTGCGCACAAACTCTGCCGACGATCATGCTCAAAACGTGATGGATAGCGTGCGGCAGGCTAAACTGGCCGTGCAAATGGATGTGCGCGATGGCCGCTCCTGGTGTGAGTCAAGGGTGTGTGGAGGAGGGATGGAGTAGAACAAGGAAGTGAATAACATGGAGTTTTATAATTCGCCTTCATTTCTTCCACAGATGTTCTGGGCAACGCCTACCTCTCCTTGTTCTTCAATACTGGGCAGAACCCCAAGATCTCCCAGCAAGCATCGAGTGCCTATGCCCAAGCAGTAGGTGATGGAGGGGAACCTGGTCATGACTGTGGTATAGGGTGGCAGGGGCTGGGGAGCCATGCTAAGTTTCTATATCGGTTTCCAGAGTGCCAGGCAAAAAGAGTTCTCTTGCATAGCATTGGTTTTCATGGCCAAAATCACTGGGTTGCTGTGAGTTTTCTGGGCTGTATGGCCATGTTCCAGAAGCATTCGCTCCTGACATTTCACCCACAACTATTGCAGGCATCCCCAGAGGTTGAGGGGTCTGTTGGAAACTAAGTAAGTTAGGTAATATATCTGTGAAATGTCCTTGGTGGGAGAAAGAACTCTTGTCTTCTTGAGGCAAGTGTGAATGTTGCAATTGGCCACCTTGATTAGCATTGAATGGCCTTGCAGCTTCAAAGCCTGGTTGATTGCAAACAAAGGATTCCCCCAAGCAGCTATCAGCCAGGCTTTGAATCTGCAAGGTCATTCAATGCTAATCATTGAATGGGAAACCCCACTGACTTTGCTGGGCCTTTGGATGAATATTCCCAAATCCTGTTTCAGATTGCATAATAATAATAATAATAACTTTATTTGTACCCCGCTACCATCTCCCCAAGGGACTCGGTGCGGCTTACATGAGGCCAAGCCCACAGCACATCAATAAACAAAGGCGATAACAAATAATCAATACAAAACAGTTAAAATAAAATAAAATAAAACTCAAAACCAAAAAATACACAATAAGCAATATCAATAAGGTTAGGGAAACACCTCTTCTGCACAAAATTCCATTCTCCTTTGCGTTGTAGAAGGCTATAAGAAAGAAATGAACACGTGCTCCATCGGTAAAAATGGTCAGGGTCAAGAACAGGACTGTTTAGAAACTATGTGCAGAAAGATCAAATCTGGGTTTTCATGCTTTTCTTTTGCTCTTTAGGAGAAAGTGGATCCTACTGCATCTTGCAATCCTGATCTACACCTGAATCGAGCCACGGTGAGAACATAACGATGAGTAAGACTGGAATTTGAGGGATGGGCAGGTGGATGGGCTACATAGTAGTGCTACCAGTCAAGGAAACCAGTTTCGATATCTCCCTTTCCTCCTCTGTTTTAGTTTGGTCTTCTACTTCTGGCTATTGCTGAAATCTTCTTTGTTCAATAGCAGCATATGATTTATTCAAAATGCATTAAGGCAGGAATGAGCAAACTTTGGCCCTCCAGGTGTTTTGGACTTCTGTTAGGGATTGTGGGAGTTGAAGTCCAAAACACCTGGAGGGCCGAAGTCCGCCCATGACTGCCTTAAGGGAACCATTCAGAGAGTACTAGTTTTAAAAGGAAAGAATCCTGTAAACAATGGAAATATTCATTCATGGCATGTACTGGGCTTTGCATATCCAGGTGGAGGTGGTTTGAAGGTGATCTGGCTTGTTATTGTGGTCTTGCCTCCTCTAACCCAATTTTCTTTTTTGTTGTAATCTGCCCACAGTCCCCTCAGGCAGAGAGGGTGGAATATAACTAAAGTTTTGTTGTTGTTTATTTATTTATTACTAGCTGCCCCCTGCCACACGTTGCCGTGGCCCAGTCTGTTGATCTGAAAAATAAAGTAATGAGAAAGTATTGGTTTCTAATATATGTAATTTCTTTATGCTTGTGGATAAACAGTATTTCTTGCTGTTTCTTTGTCAGTGTTGATGTGGAGAGTGTTTGGTTTGCCCACGCTGGAATATGCAAGATATCATTGTCTTTCTTTAAGGGTCCCTTTCAAATCTATGATACTCTCTGTGTGTGAATCATATCTATCTATCAAACTATCGATCTATCTATATGGCTGGATGGCTATTTGTCAGGAGGGCTTTGATTATGTTTTCTTGCCCTGATGAAGGGAGTTGGATTGGATGGTCTTAAGTATTTTCTGTTGCTCCTGGGGGTTCCGTGTGGGAGGTTTGCCCCGATTCTGTCATTCGTGGGGTTCAGAACGCTCATTGATTGTAGGTGAACTGTGAATCCCAGTGACTACAACTCCCAAATGTCAAGGTCTATTTTCCCCAAACTCCATCTGTGTTTATATTTGGGCATATTGAGTGCTTGTGCCAAGTTTGGTCCAGATCCATCATTGTTTGAGTCCACAGTGCTCTCTGGATGTAGGTGAACTACAACTCCCAAACTCAAGGTCAATGCCCACCAAAACCCTTCCAGTATTTTCTGGTGGTCATGGGAGTTCTGTGTGCCAAGTTTGGTTCAGTTCCATCGTCAATGTTCAGAATGCTCTTTGATTGTAGGTGAACTATAAATTCCAGCAACTACAACTCCCAAATGACAAAAGCATAATTTTTTGAGTGATGCTCACTCCTTGTGTTGTGAGAAGTTTTGCTGCCAAATTTGGTGTGATTTCGTTCATTGGTTCTTTTGTTTTTAAGGTACTCATTATGCACTGAGCATTTTTATATATATAGATTTGTGACATTTATATGCCACCCTTCTCGCACCGAAGAGGACTCAGAGGGTCTTACAAAATATATATACATACAATATATTATATTATTAGCATAGTACAATATCAGTATTATATATTACCATGTTGTTGTTGTTTTCAGCTTCCCTTCCTCCTTCCTCCCTTCCTAGAACATGAATGGTTTTGGCTCCTGGGAGACTTAGTTTTGCATTTCGCTTCTGATCCAGTACTTTTTTGTTTTGTTTCTTGGGACAGCTGCATAAATATGAAGAAAACTACATGGAAGCGCTGGAGGGTTTCGCACGGGCCGCAGCTCTTGACCCAGCTTGGTCCGAACCACGGCAAAGAGAGCAGCAGCTCCTAGATTTCCTAAGCAGGCTAACGAGCCTCCTGGAAAACAAGGTATTTAAGCTGGCAAGATTCGGCTTGACCACACAAGGCGACGTTGACTCAATTACACCAATGCCTTCTGCTGTTTTCTTTTTTCCCTTCATAGGGAAAGGTAAAAGGCAAGAAGCTGCAAAGTATGCTGGGAAACCTGCGTCCCTCCCAACTGGGCCCTTGTGGCGATGGCCATTATCAGGGGTCCTCGGGTCAGAAGGTGAAATTGGAGCAGCGGCCCCTCAGTGCTTTGCGGCCTGGTGCTAACTCTGGCACGGTTGTGCTGGGAAAGGTGTTATTCAGCCTGACCACAGAAGAAAAGGTGCCCTTGTGAGTATCCGTTGAGCTGTCCTTGGCAACTTTCAAGTCTGGTTCACTTATATCAGGGGTGGGCAAAGTGTGTGCCGCAGATTGCATTTAGCTCTTAAGAGCACAGGAATGATCAAATGCATGTTTTGCCTCCAAATACCCTTTGTGCTAAATCCCCTTCCAGGCTGATTTAGGCCCAGGAGATGCCTTTTAAAATAATAAGTATGCCAGAAGTGACTTATGCCTCAGGTTTTTAAAGGCCTCTTTTTTGTTGCTGTGTGACTTCACGTTGCTTCTGACAAATGGTAACATTAAGGTGAAACCTGTGGTTTTAAAGTCTTGACTGTGTCACTATTTTAAGGTCTCCCAGTGGGTTTTAATGCCAAAAAAACCCCATTAACAACACACCAGTAGCTACCAAAAATTCAAATTATGCACACAAAAAACATGCCACTGAGAAAAATTATACAGCTATCTGCATATTATGGTTGTCATCATACCACCCTTAGTTGCCTGTTCTGGCTTATACACATTAAGCCTGTGTCTTGAAGCAATTTTCAAGTTTTCCCTTTGACATTAAATCTAGTTGTGTCCAACTCGGGGGGGGGTTGGTGGTGCTCATCCATAGATGCCTCCAAGATCATGTGGCCAGCATGACTGCATGGAGCGCCCTTACCTTCCTGCAGAAGCGGTACCTATTGATCTACTTAAATTTGCATGTTTTCAAACTGCTAGGTTGGCAGAAGCTGGGGCTAACAGCGGGAGCTCACCCTGCTTTCCGGACTTGCATCTCCAACAATTTGGTCATTAAGTTCAGCAGCTCAGCAGTTTAACATACTGCGCCACCGGGGGTCCTAAAAACACCGGGGGTCCTAAAAAATCTGTAAATCAAAATGGCACTTCCGCATCTCACCTCTTACAAGCGCACATTTGTAATTTCTAAGGAGGCGACAAAATGTTTACATAGTTGTACACATTTTCCAAAATGCATCCAGGCTAGGGCTTTGGTGGAAAAGGTAGCCCTCATAAGAATAAACTCCTGTAGTACTTATATTAGGCATGGACAAACTTTTTCTCTCCAGGTGTTTTGGAGTTCAACTCCCACAATTCCTAACAGCCGATAGGCTGTTAGGAATTGTGGGAGTTAAAGTCCAAAACACCTGAAGGGCCGAAGTTTGTCCATGCCTAACCTATATGCTTTTCCAAGACTGAATTAGTAATAACAGTCATGCCTCAAAAATGTCTGGCTTGTCTGTCGCTTCACTGACTTCATTCTTGGTGCTGTGTTATTATCTCTTTCCCTGCCTTTCTCTTCTCTGATAGTACGTTTGGCTTGACTGACTCGTTCGATGGCCCTTGTTTTGCTGTGACTGTTTACAACATGGCCCAAAGCTGGGGGGTTCTGATTGGAGACTCTGTGGCTATTCCCGAACCATACCTTCGGCACCATCACATCCAGCATCAAGGCAAGGCAAGTTCAGCTCACCCTGAAGTGGTATGATGTTGCAAGAGTGAGATTCTTGTCTTCAGAGTGGGGTGTGATCTAAGATTGTAACTGGCAATACAGAAAGCATAAGCATTAGGGGAAAGATCCAGGACACCATAAAGGAATTCAAAACTTACAGTTTTGTCCAATCTGGCATGGATTTCCACCCTTGCCTATACACTTTTTTTGATCCTAGTGGAACTTAGCTATTCAGAGTGAGAGAAAGGAAAAAAAGGACTTTATAGACAATCTCTGCTTGATGCTTTGACAATATATTTAAAGATTTTCAGTTTCGCTTATGGAAGTATTTATTTATGTCTTGCCTTTCTTTCAGCATGGGACCTAAAGTAGTTTACAGTAAGGTTAAAACTAAATAAAGCTAAAAACCTGCTTATAAAAAAACTAAAAACACAGTTGTGGCGTTTGTTTCCAAGAGGTACTAAATGTTGGGCGAATACAATATATTATACTATTAGCATAGCACAAGAGACAAGGTGGAACTGTCTTCTGGCCCCCTCTCTCTACACTCTGGCCCAGAGCAGCAGTTGGGGCTGGGAGGAGGGGTCCCCAACTGGTGACATATGCAGGAGACAAGATGGAACTGTCCCCTGCCCCCCCCTCTCTTCACTCTGGCCCAGGGCGGCAGTTGGGGGGTGGGGTCCCCAACCGATTACATATGCAGGAGACAAGATGGAACTGTCTCCTGCCCTCCTCTCTTCACCTGAGTAAGGAATCTGGGGGAACAGAGATTCCTTACTTTGTAGTAGATAGTAGACTTAGGATCGAACTGTTTCCATTCTGATTGACTGCCATCCCTTATTATTTCCTTCTTCTTCTACCTTTTCAGAGTTTTGATTTCTCTGGCATCCGGGTTGAAACCCCTTTGCTGCTGGTGGTGAATGGCAAGGTGCAAGGAGCCCAGAGCCAGGCCGCTGCCACTGTGGCCTACCAGGCACAGAGCGAATGAGGAAGCGATGGAGGAAGAAAGAGTTTGCAAAGGGAGGACTGCTCCCTCGTTCCAGTGGTGCTTGGCCTTGGGCCTGTTCCTGCTACCTCTTAGAATATATTAAACTTTTGGCAAACTTTGGCTCTCCAGGTGTTTTGGACTTCAACTCCCACAATTCCTAACAGCCGGTAGGCTGTCAGGAATTGTGGGAGTTGAAGTCCAAAACACCCGGAGGGCCAAAGTTTGCCTATGCCTATATTAACCTTTAATGGCTAAATAACATCTCTGGGCATTAGAAAATGGAGTAAGGGAAGCAGAGGAAAGGGTTGCCCCCTTAGGCTTTTAACCCTCTTGTTTTGGTCCTTGCCAATTCCACAGGAACTGACCCTGTGCCTTAATCCATTGCGGTCATAAAGTTACGCTTCCTGAGCCACGTTAAAGGCTTTCCTAGCCCCGTTGCTTCACTTTTTCTCAGAACCTTTGGCCCATTTTGTTTGAGCGTAGGCACTCCCTTTCCTTGGGCGCTTCTGTTCGTTTGGCTTTTTTTGTGTGTGTTGTTGTAAACCCCATCGGGTTGAATCCCATCTGAGTCATATTTACTGGAAACGCCACTGAAGACATTACTGAAATACATTTGATTTCAGTGGGTCTGCTCTAAATATGATGAACAGGATGCAATCCGATGTGTATTTTATTTTGTATATATAGGCAATAATAACACCCGTATTTATTTGGTAAGATGATGAGATTGTTTCTGTAATTTTATATATAATTTTCCATACTTCTGGTCTTTTGTTCCCCTCTTCCCCCAACCAATAAATTGTATTTGTTACCATTGGGGAGTGCTTTGTTTTTGAATATGTATTGCTTACCATTCAGTCATGCTGGCCACATGACCCTGGAGGTGACTATGGAAAACGCCAGCTCTTTGGCTTAGAAATGGAGATGTGCATCACCCCCCAGAGTTGGACACTGCTGGACCTAATGGCAGAGGAAAAGCTTTACCTTTATCTTTTACCAATTAGAAGTAGGAGCCTCAGTGGTGCAATGGGTTAAACCCTTGTGCCGACTGAACTGCTGACCTGAAGTCCTGAAAGTCAGCGGTTCAGATCTGCAAGACAGAGTGAGCTCTCATCTGTCAGCCCCAGCTTCCCATGTGGGGACATGAGAGAAGCCTCCCACATCCGGGCATCCCCTGGGCAACGTCTTTGTAGATGGCCAATTGTATCACACCAGAAGCAACTTGCAGTATTTTCTTAATTAGCTTCTGATACAATAAAAAAACTAGTTAGAAGTGACACAAAAGAACCCCTTCAGAATAGAATGGCTCAGCCAAGCTGAAAATAAATTTTATTTCCACTTAGTGAAGAGAAGACTGAGGGCTGGCATGATTTCACTCTTTAAATGTCTGAAGGGCTCAGTTTGCTCTTCAAAAAGAAAGGACTAGATCTAATGGCTTTAAGTTATAGAAGGGTAGGTGTGCAGGAGCCAAATTGAGCCCAGTATTTGCTCCCTGGTGGCGCAGCAGGTTAAACCGCTGAGCTGCGGAACTTGCTGACGGAGAGGTTGGCGATTCGAATCCTAAGATCGGGTTGAACTCCAGCTGTTAGGCGCAGTGGGTTAAAGCACTGAGCTGCTGAGCTTGTTGACCGAAAGATTGCAGGTTCGAATGCGGAGAGCGGCGTGAGCTTCTACTATCAGCCCCAGCTTCTGCCAACCTAGCAGTTTGAAAACATGCAAGTATGAGTAGATCAATAGGTACTGCTTCTGTTGGAAGATAACAGTGCACCATGCAGTCATGCTGGCCACATGACATTGGAGGTGTCTATGGACAACTCTGGCTCTTCAGCTTCGAAATGGAGATGAGCACCACCCTCCAGAGTTGGACATGACTAGACTTAATGTCAGGGGGAAACGTTTACTATTTGCCACACAGGTTTTTCCCTGCACAGTTTAAGTTCAGTCGTGTTCAACTCTGGGGGTTGGTGCTCATCTCCATTTCTAAGCCGAAGAGCCGGTGTTATCTGTAGACACCTCCAAGGTAATGTGGCCAGCTTGACTGCATGGAGCACCGTTACCTTCCCGCCGGAGCGGTACCTATTGATCTACTCACATTTGCATGTTTTCGAACTGTTAGATTGGCAGTTTACCAATCCATACACAGTTTACCAATCCATAAATTTGTTTTTCCTTGAAAAGTAAAGTAACCTTTCTATGAACTTCCAATTTACAATAGTAAACATTGACTTGAGTTTTGCTTAATGGCTGAACTTTGGCTCTTTAGGGTAGATTCGCTGCTCCTTGTGGCTTCCCTTCTTAATTGGCTCTCAAAGGGCAGAAAAGTGCAAATGTGGGTAAATGCTAATTATGCCAGGATGCATTTGTTTCTTCCTGATGTTAACTTTTCAAATGAACTTCTGCAACTATTTCCTCTTGAGAAGGCAGTTTCTACTATACTGGGAATTGGAACAAATGCTGTTTAGAGGAGTGTGAGAGCAGGAGTGTTTTCCCATTACACAAATATAGTGGTATGATTCCAATTCAACTGCCATGGCTGCATCCTGTGGAGTTTTGGGATTTGCAATTTGGTGATGGAACCATAGCTCTCTGGCTGAGAATGCTAAACACCCATTCTCTAAACTACAAATCCCTCATTTGATAGGACATTGTATAGAGCAATGTTTCTCAGCCTGGGGGTTGGGACCCCTGGGGGGGATCACGAGGTGGGTGTCAAAGGGGTCGTCAAAGACCATCAGAAAACAGTATATATTATTGGTCATGGGGGTTCTGTGTGGGACGTTTGGCCCAATGCTATCTTTGGTGGGCTTCAGAATGCTCTTTGATTGTAGGTGAACTATAAATCCCAGCAACTACAGCTCCTAAATGTCAAGGTCTATTTTCTCCAAACTCCACCAGTATTCAACATTTGGGCATATTGAGTATTCGTGCCAAGTTTGGTCCAGATCTATCATTGTTTGAGTCCACAGCGCTCTCTGGATGTAGGTGAACTACAACTCCAAAATTCAAGGTCAATGCCCACCAAACTTTTTCTGTTGGTCATGGGAGTTCTGTCTTACAAGTTTGGTTCAATTCCATCTTTGGTGAAGTTCAGAATGCTCTTTAATTGTAGGTTAACTATAAATCCCAGCAACTACAACTCCCAAATGACAAATTCACTCCCCCCCCCCCCCCCCCAACTCCACCAGTATTCAAATTTGGGCACATCGGATATTTGTGCCAAATTTGGTCTAGTGAAAGCAAATACATCCTGCATATCAGATCTTTACATTATGATTCATAGCAGTAGCAAAATTACAGTTAAGAAGTAGCAACGAATATAATTGTATATTTTTGGGTCACCACAACATGAATAATTGTATTAAGGGCTCGTGGCATTAGGAAGGTTGAGAACCACTGGTACAGAGAATTAAAGCAAATTGCAGTATTATAACCCCAATTCCAGCCAAGACTTTGATTGTTGCCCTTCTTTCCGAAATGAATGTGGTAACTAATTTCCTGCATTCTCAGAGAGTGGAAAACCACTTAGTTGGATTGCAATTCCCAGGAATCTTCAACTCTTTGGGCAGGTCTAGTTGGAAGATCCTGGGTCCATAATGTAGCCTTTCCAAACTGTGTGCGGCATTCTGTTCATAATTAAGATTATAATTAAACATCTGGGGAAAAGGATGATATAATGTGGAAGGTGAATCACGAACAAGATATGGCAATGTAGAAATGTCAACATATTACATGGTGTTTCAAATACAATAGATTGTTGTACTCTGTATTAATACCATATTTCTTTGATCCCAAGATGCTATCGATTGTAAGACGCACACTAATTTCAGTACCACCAACAGAAAAAAAAATCTAGACACGCACCCATATATAGCACTCCCATTTCTAAGATGCACCCCATTTTTAGAGATTTTATATTGTGAGAAATAGTTCAGAACCAGAAAATTGCTAGAGATATTTTGTTGGATGTTTCTAGTTGAAACCACAGGTACTGGTCTTGTAGGTATGGGGTCATACTGTATAATACAAATTAATAATATATTTCAGGAGGGGGAAACTATTTTAATGAGGATGTTCTACAGGGAAACAGGCCCTGATTTTCTGGCCAAGGTCCACATCAACCATCCCCGGATCATTGCATCTAATTTCCCCCCAGTATTGTCCTCCTTAGGGCATCCTTCATCTCCTTGTTCCTCAGGCTGTAGATGAGTGGGTTGAGCAGAGGGGTCACCACTGAATAGAAGAGGGTCACCACTTTGTTGCTGCCTCCAGAAGCTTCGGGGGCGACGTAGGTGACCATGATGGATCCGTAGAAAAGGCTCACCACGGCCAGGTGGGAGGTGCAGGTGGAAAAGGCCTTCTTCCTCTTCACGGTGGAAGACAACCTCATCACTGCCCGTAGGACTGCGGTGTAGGATCCCACGATGAAAAGGAATGGGCCAAAGATAGCAATGGAGCTGAGGCTGTAGAAAGCCAACTCCGTGCGGGGAGCTGGAGAGCAGGACGCAGACAGCAGTGGTCCTGGGTCGCAGATAAAATGGTCGAGGAGATTGGAGCCACAGAAACGGAGCTGGGAAATCAACACAATGGGCACCAAGAACCAAATGAACCCAGAGACCCAGCAGGATGCTGCCAAGTTGACACAAAACCGTGGTGACATAAGGATAGGATAACGCAATGGGTGGGAGATGGCCAAGTAGCGATCCAAGGCCATTGCAGCAAGGAGGAAGCTCTCGGTGGTCCCCATAGAAAAGAAGAAGTAGAATTGGAGAAAGCAGCCTTGGAAGGAGATGATGCTTGGCTGCAGGGACACTAGATCTGACAACATCCGGGGCACCGTGGTGGTTACGTAGCACATCTCCAGCCCTGAAAAGTTGCCCAGGAGGATGTACATGGGGAGGCGGGTGAGGCGAGAGTCCCAGAGGACAGCCCACACGATGCACAGGTTGCCCAATAAGGTGAAGACATAGCAGGTGGAGAGCAGAGAGCAAAGCAGCAGGTGGAATGACCATGAGAGGGATGGGAAGCCCAAGAGAACAAAGCCAGTCACCAAGTTGGTTTCGTTTGCCTGGTTGGAGAAGAAGTGGCCCTGTGATTTTGCAAGAATCAAAGAGGGAGATGCATAGATTTATATAATCAAAAGAGACATTCAAGGGCCATCCAGTTCAACCTCATCCTACCATGCAGCAATACACAATCAAAACACTCCTGACAGATAGCCCCCCTAGCCCCTGTTTAAAAATATCCAGACAAGAGGGAAAGGGTGAAACTTTAAAACATGGATTCCTTGGCTAAGAGAATTCTGTGAAAGTAGGGCACATAACAACAACAACAACTTTATTTTTATACCCCACCTCCATCTCCCCGAAGGGTCTCGGGGTGGCTTACAAAGGGACAACCTCCAAAATTACAGGTTAAAACAAGCACAATAAAATACAATCAACAACAACAAATCACTGGGTTGTTGTAGGTTTTTTCAGGCTATATGGCCATGGTCTAAAGGCATTCTTTCCTCATGTTTCGCCTGCATCTATGCCAAGCATCCTCAGAGGTAGTAAGGATGCTTGCCATAGATGCAGGCAAAATGTCAGGAGAGAATGCCTCTAAACCATGGCCATGTAGCCCAAAAAACCCTACAACAACCCTGTGATTCCGGCCATGAAAGCCTTCAATAATACAAGAACAAATCAATTAAAAACATCACAATCAGGCAACATCATAAAAACAGTATCATGGCTGAACAAAAATTGATGTCAATACCCACAAAGAGAGATTGTGCAAAAAATTATTACAGTAGAGTCTCGCTTATCCAACATAAACGGGCCGGCAGAAGGTTGGATAAACAAAACTGTTGGATAATGAGGGATTAAGGAAAATACTATTAAACATCAAATTATGTTATGATTCCACAAATTGAGCACCAAAACATCATGTTTTACAACAAATTGACAGAAAAAGCAGTTCAATACACAGTAACATTAAGTAGTAATTACTGTATTTATGAATTTTGCACCAAACCATCGCAATGTATTGAAACAGCTGTGGATCCAGACGGGAGGCAAACTGCATTGGATAATACATAAAGTTGGATGAGCAAAGGTTGGATAAGTGAGACTGTACTGTACTGTTATTATTTACTTTATTTATACCCCACCTTCTCTCCGAGGGGACTCAAGGCAGCTAACAACGTCACACTTTGATGAATTTAAAACAAAGCCAATTTTTAAAAAATAAAAAAATAATTAAACGGTAATGTGTGTGCTAGGTTAAAAATACAGTTAAAATACAACAAATATAATTGAAATGCATTTTAAAACATTTAACCCGCACCCCACTCTCCAAATCCCACCTACAACCTCCTCAGCAACGTGCCCCTTCTTAATTCTTGTTGCGTTCTTGCCAGTTTGTCCAAGAAAAAACACAAGCAACAATAAACTTCAGGAAAATTTGCAGCACTTACAAACTTTACTTTGGATGAATGAAAACTGTCTAAACTGCCTAGACGCTTCCAGGGTTGTAGTCTTCTAAGTAGTTCTAAGACATCCAACTCTGACATAGTCAACTCTGCTGGACTGGCCATGTTGTCTGAATGCCCGATCACCATCTCCCAAAGCAGTTACTATACTCCCAGTTCAAGAACGGGAACATAGTGTTGTTGGACAGGAAACGAGATTTAAAGATGGGCTTAAAGCCAATCTTAAAAATGGTGGTATAGGCCCCCAGAACTGGGAAGCCCTGGGCCTTGAGCACTCTAACTAGATGTCAGTTGTGACCAGCAGTGCTGCAGAATTCGAAGAGCCACAAATGGAGGGTGAAAGGGAGTAATGTGCCAAGAGGAAGATGCGTCAAACCAACTCTGTCCGGGCCCGCCTTCCACCAGGAAACCAATGTCCTCACCACAGGAATACACGTAGATCAAGAATAGGGCTCCACAGACCCATCGCCAAGACAATACACTTGGAGGACCATCATTGTGTAAGTAAGTATGTAAGTAAGTAAATAAGCAACCCTATCACAGGGTTTTCTTAGAAAGCTGTATTCAAGGGAAGTTTGTTTGACATGGCCTTCCTCTAAGTCTCAGAATGTGTGATTTACCCAAGTTCATACAGTAAACAAGGGTTTGAACCCTCACTTCCCAACATCCGAGTTCAACACTCAAACCATGGTGACATTGGCACAAGCGACTATGGCAATTTAATAAGGCAGGCATTGGAGAAAATGGATTGTTTGGATCCAGCAAATTATACCTGCTTTTCCCCACTGCCATTGAGTGACTGGAAAAATTGCAGTCACTAGCATAATGCCTCAACAGGATTCCATCCTGTCCTGCTTTGGATTTAGACGTGAGAACAGAAAGCAATAAACTGCAAAGAGGGGTTTAATAAAATTCCTTACCGCATGTTCGGGCACATTCAGCGATGACATCGGTCATGTTAACTTCTGACATTCCAAACGAGTGCAGAGAGAAATTAAGGAGACCCCATTGTCATTGGTTGAATTATAAGCATATAAAAAGTTATATACTTAAAGCAAGAAACAATCAATTATTTCAATTTCTGTAAGGCTGGATTCAGTTATTATTAACTATACAATGAGTTTTAGGTTGATATGAAAACACACCAATAAACTTGCCTTTCTTTTCACCATTAGAAGTGGCACTAAATCAGTTGCCCAGATATTTTTCTAGAACTACAGCTCCTAGAATGGTCCAGACACTGGGAAGGGATACTGGGATTTATGGTCCCAAAAAGTGTTTCAAGATCTGGGGTTATGGAAAAGCACTCTTTAGAGTATGGTTCCATTCCTGCCTTTAGGAAGAACAGCAAAATGCAGCAGTTAGAGAACAGAACCCATAAAAAAATCTCTTTCAATGATGAGATGTTTGATGGGCAACAATAAGGATGAAGGACAATGCCACAATAATAATAATAACAACAAAAACCACAACAATAATAATTTTATTTTTATACCCTGCCTCCATCTCCCCTAAGAAACTTACAAAGGGACAATCCCAGGGAGCACAAAGTTAAAAACATAACGCAATAAGATAGTATCATAAAACAATACCATACAAAATGATAAAAGTGCTGAGTTCAGAGGGCTCTGGGTTTGTGCAAATTCCTAGATAGAGCTAAGGGAAAGTGCAAAATTCAGAAGGCAGGGCTGGGAGGATAATGTTCATGGGCATTAAAATGTCAGGATTGTAGAGCGGAGGGCCATGCTAAAGTGCTGGAACTTAGGTAACATTGGGCCAATTCTTTGGAACTGCCTAGTCAAAGGCACAAATCACTGCAAACATACCTCTTTCCAACTGTGAGCACAATCACCTCCTTCCTTCTAAAGGACTGTTGGCTGCTGAAAGACTGATAACTTCATACACTAAAATCTCAGGGGGTCTTTGTTTCCAGAGAGAGTTGAAGAGTCCAAACATGGATTTCAAGATGTACCTCTACTGAGAGATACAGCAGGGTGAGTAAAGCACAGAGAATATCTGCTAGTTAGAGTCTTTGTGGTGGCAGGAGAAATATGCTTTAGGATAGCAAATCCCAGAATCTTTCAGTCATCTTGGGGATTACGGGAGTTGTAATTTGGAAAAATAATGATTCCAAGCTCTGACTTGGATAGAAGTTGGAGAAGGTCCTAAACCCATAGGCATTTTACAGATAGCATTTGAATCTATAGTGGCTTTTGGCTAACTGATATTGTAGTAGTTAGAACCGCGGATAAAAGAATCCATGCCTGGCAGGCATATGCTAAACCAATAGGACAGGACAAAGAAACCAACTCACCAAGTTGAAGACAAGCCACAGAGGTTTATTACGATTTGGCCAAAAGGATATAAATACAGTAATTTGCTTCAAAATGTGCAAGCATAAACATGAAGAGAAATACAAAACATCTTATACAGCACTGACAGCTATTCAGGCTTCCCTCTCCCTTCCCTGATTGGCTGAAAACAATGCAGGCTAGGATCTGTGCTAGGGTTGGCTGGGAGGGAGAATGTCAATCAGGGATTGGTCAGAGTGAAAGACCTATCAGCTGCAGAGACGTCCCCTGGGAGGGCACAGTCTGGGGAAAACAAATGGTAAATATATGTTGATGGGCTTCTGATGAGCTCAAATGTCCAGTTTCATGCCAAACAAAGATAGAAACATCTGAAAACAAAGGTGTGAGGCTCCTTGAACAAAAAGTGATGATCTTGGACAATCAGGGTTTGGTTGTTAATAAAGAGGTTTAACAAATGTACATAGCCTGAGCTTCAATTTCTGCAGGCAGTTTCAGTTTCTGCATGGGAAGTCGCTTATCTCTGTATAAACATAAACAATGGGTCTGGTGATTATCTGGCTCGGGAAACAGCCAGAGGGGTTTGCCCAGCCTTTCTGTTCTCAAGGGATTAGGGATTCACTGCAGCTCCTGGTTTGGTCTTGATCTTCTGATACTTTGAACTTGTGCAAGTCCTTAAAAAAGGAAAAATATTATCTTTAATTCTGAGGCCTTGGTGAACTATAAATCTTCTGGGGGTGGGGTTATTGTGGTTTAACAACAATATGCAAGACCATCCTTGTTCAAAATGGATGCCTTCATTGAGCTACATTTGTAATTGAAGAAGATTTCATTTTTTCAATTTTTCTTTCTGTTGTAGCTCAGCCAGCTGAGGATGATGTGGAGGGGTTTTATACAGTGCAGCCAGCTGAGGATGTTGATGAGGGGTCGGGGGTGCAGGTCCTGCAGGTCCTGATGTTTCTGAAGGTGTTCAGATAGAGGGGATGTTGGAACAGGATAGCAATTCCCTGGTTGGGAGAATGGAAGGGGTCTGTGTGAAAATGAAACTGTTTTGCAGGATGACAGGCAGTGAAGAGAGATTAGATTTATTTATTTTTATTTATTTACCACACTTTTATCCCATCCTTTTCAGCCCGAAGGCAACTCAGGGTGGCGTACAGACTGGCAACAATTAGATGCCGAATACACATAAATACATAGTTTAAAACAGGTTCAATCACATAATAAAATTCATATAAAAACAATTTAAAACTATTAAAATCAATGACTTCTGGGTTTAAATCCATGTCCATTTGCATCGTTAAGCCATTCCATATTTGTTCACAATACTGAGTTTGGTTATAATGAGGTTCCAAAAACTTGCTTGAAGAGCCAGGTTTTTACTCTTTTTCTAAAGGTCAGGAGGGAAAGCTCCAATCTAATATCCCCAGGAAGGGAGTTCCACAGCCAAGGGGCCACCACTGAGAAGGCTCTGTCCCTCGACCCCGCCAAGCGCACCTGTGAGGCACGTGGGATTGAGAGCAGGGCCTCCCCAGATGATCTTAAATTCCTGGAAGGTTGGTAAGATAGAGAAGCGAGATTGCTTCTGTGTGGGAAGAATTCCAGGTGCAAGTCAGGTGATGGGAAAAAGTGGCCAAAGGGCCATAGGAATGCTTTCATGCATTGCTGTCCTTAATAGGGGGAAAACTGCTTTCGGTGTTTAGATCAAGCAACTTAGCAATTAGAGAAAGGATCTCTTGCCTTGGTTCTCGCTTCAAGTCATGTCCTGGTCAAGTTTTGCTTTAAGTCTTGGGGATTTTACCATGAACTCAAGCTAATGTATTGTTCTTTGATTCTTGGATCACTTAAGTGGATGTTTTATTCCTCGTCTATTATCTCTCACACTTCTTCTGAAATGCATTCAATTTATGATATTACATCGGGTCTTTCTTTTCCTCCCTTTTCCATAATTACCTTTCTTTTCACCCATTTCTCTCTTTTTCTCAGCAACCTCCATGCTGCTTCCCTCACCTGATTATTCCTCAAGCAATAAATCAGAGGGTTGAGGAAAGGTGTAACAGCCGTATAGAAGATTGTGATTATTTTAGTCAATTGGAAGTTCCTTTCTCTGCCCGGAGTCACATACATCCCTATCACTGGGCCATAGAAGAGGGTCAAGACTGCTAGGTGGAAGGAAATGGTAGAAAAGGCCTTCTTCCGACTGCCGTGGTAGGAGGGCTTCATCAGGGTGAAGATGACAACACCGTAGGACAGCAACACAAATAAAAAATTCCCTACTATAATCAAAACATTCATGGAAAACTCCCAAATATGACTGAGATTCCTTTGGTAGCTTGTTGATGTTATATGTTCAATATATTGTTGCTATTGACAGAGAGCAACTATATATCACCCAGGAAGCGGCTAATTACCATTTCCAACCCCTCACGTGTGATCTCTGGTCCTTAGGAAGAAACATGAATGGAAGAAGTGGGTTTTGATTTTAGATATGTAAAACTTATTTAGACTGGACTCAGTCTGGAAATATGTGGATTTGGCAATTCCTGGTGCATGTGGGCACACATGAATTAAACACATGGATCAATGGAAGAAACACCGGACAGTCGGCCATATTTTTAAGGATATGTGTTGCTTTATTGATTACTGTAAAGGAGATAAACGTAATCTTTGGCAGGGTGGACAAGCAATCCCACCGCTGCCACCAATGTAAAAAAAGATAAGAGACACACTGGGCAGATGGGCAAACAATCCCACCTCTAGTCACCAGTGTGAAAGGTTAACGTTCAGCTGGACACTACTACAACGACGATAAATGACTATGGCAAAGGGGGAAAGACTCTCTAATCCCACCTCAATACTATAGTTAAGTGACCAACTGTATTAACGATGTTAATGACCGATGTAATAGGTAGATTCGCCGCCACCACCTCAATATGTCTGAGGAAAACATGAGTGTGAATGTGAAATAGGTAAAGTTTGTTCAAGCCCTTTGTTCTTCTTTAATAACTGCTTCTCCTGCTGACTGGACTGAAATTAAGTTGTCTTAAAGCTGGCTGAGACCTAAGGAATGTGATAGACCGAGGCAGACACCAGTTTAAGATGAAAATTAGAAACAGGTTTATTTAAACTTGGTGAACAAATCAACTCTTAAAAAGAGTGGTACAAAAGCGTAATGCGTTTCAGAGGCTTAGCTGGTTAGACAAGCAGTCTTTCCTTAAAGACTTTAACTTTTGTTCCCCAGTGAGTTCCTTTCCTCAGACTGGCCACTACACTGACACAGTGTGTCCTTGAGAACAGCCCACTGACTGCCTCACAGAGCAAAATAGGCTTTCCTTCACTGACCCTACTCTGTACAGTGAACCAGGAACCTTTGCCTTTCCTATGCTCTAACCCTCAAGGCTCACTTCAAAAGTTCTCCCTGTCTAAATTCCTCTCAGCTCCCTCTTCCTAAATATACTTCTTCACTCTACGATGTTTAAAGTCCTTCTCCCCAGCTTGTCAAAAAGACAGCCTTTTTTCCCTCTAAAACCTAACTCCTCCCCTGATTGCTCTAGCCAATCAGGAGTCGTCTGACTCCTCCCTCCTGCCTCTTAGCTCTCCTGCCTATCTCTCAACATGTCAGCCACTGACTTTCCAGGCTTCGGCCTTCCTGGCAAAAGGTTAGATTCATGACAATTACATACATATTTCACTTGTTATACAGGGTACTCAAGACAAGAAGCCAAGCAAAAACGGAATTTGAATAACAGTATGTTCAGGAAAGACTAGCAGAATTAACTTCACTGACTGACTTAGTTCAGGATACAATATCTGTATCTATAGTTGGAACAGATGTGTAGCAGCCGGTCACATCATAGGACAGATTCTGTCTGGATAAAGTTCCACCCAAAACATTTATACTTTATATTCAGGTCCTCAAACTCAGAGGCAGTCTTCCTCACTGGGTTTTAATAGTTGCCAAAATATTGAGCTCTTGCTGCCACCATTTATTTTACAGCCTGAAATGCTAAGGATGAATAAATATGAGTTGTTGTAGGTTTTTCGGGGCTATATGGCCATGTTCTAGAGGCATTCTCCTGACGTTTCGCCTGCATCTATGGCAAGCATCCTCACTACCTCTTAGGATGCTTGCCACAGATGCAAGCGAAACGTCAGGAGAAAAATTGCCTCCAGAACATGGCCATATAGCCCAGAAAAAACTACAACAACCCAGTGATTCCGGCCATGAAAGCCTTCGACAATACAATGAATATATATTACTAAGTTTTTTCTTAGGATGTTATCCCACACTAAATTTTCTCCATTTTCTCACATTGGTGTAAAGGAGTTCAACGGGTGATATCCCATTACTCCCAGCCACTTCCGGTGGCCATGTGTGCAAATCTGTCTTGCCAATGCATGAAGAAGGAAAGAAAAGTCCCTTTGCAGGAGTTAGGAAATTTCATGGGATGGCTGGTCATCCCTGAAGCTGGATCTTGCCAGGGTAGGTTGCATCCCCACTATTAAGGACCCTTTCTCCTCCCGCTCCCACAATTCTCTCCTACCTGTGAGATAAGGTCACTAGTCAACATAATCTTCCACTGTCCTAATTTGGTAGGACAGTCCCAATATCACCTGCTTTTAAAATGTCCCAGTTTCTCTCTCCTCCTTTCACATTTCCCCAGCATTCCCAGTTAAATGCTGGTGGTACAGCGGATTAAACCACTGAGCTTCTGAACAAAAGGTTGGCAATTCAAATCTGGGTAGCGGGGTGAGCTCCCACTGTTTGCCCCAGCTTCTGCCAACCTAGCAGTTCAAAAACATGAAAATGTGAGTAGATCAATAGGTACCGCTTCGGTGAGAAGGTAATGATTCTCCATGCAGTCATGCTGGCCACATGACCTTGGAAGTGTGTATGGATAATGCTGGCTCTTTGTTTTAGAACTGGAGATGAGCACCACCCCCTCAGAGTTGGACATGACTAGACTTAATGTCAGGGGAAACCTTTACCTTATGCAGGTATAATGTCCTGAAGAAAGAAAAATGGTCCTCTCTCTCTCTCTCTCTCTGAATATATTGCTTTTATCATGTTGCATTCATTTTCCATTTTTGCCCTAATTTCTCCTTCCCTCTACAAGATCGCCTTTCTTCTGAACCATCTCTCCTTTCTCTTCAGCAACCTGCCCAGGGCCTCCCTCACCTGGTCATTCCTCAGACAATAGATCAAGGGATTGAGGAAAGGAGTAATGGTTGTGAAGGTTGTTACCACCTTGCCAACCTGTGACTGACCTTTTCCAAATGGAGTGACATACATCCCTCCTGCTGAGCCATAGAAAAGGGTGGCGATGACCAGATGGGAAGATATGGTGAGAAAGCCTTCTTATGACTATCTTGACTCGATGATTTCATTAGGGTAAGAATGACAACTCCACAAGAGAGCAAAATAAAGGTGAGGTTCCCTATTACAACCAGAAAATTCATGGAAAACAGAATCTGGGACCATTCCTTCGTGGAGGGCAGACCAATTTCAGAATGGGCCCAGGATCAAACAAGAAATGGTCAATGATGTTAGGGCCACAGAAGGACAACTTTGAGATCAATGTCACTGGACCAATGTATATTGACATGCCAATTACCCAACAAACAAGTACTAAAGTATAACATGATTTTTGAGACATTATATGCTGGTAATGTAATGGGTGGCAAATGGCCAGGTACCGATCCAAAGCCATAGCTGAGAGGAAGAAGCATTCGGTGGTGCCCAGGGAGAAGAAGATGTAGAACTGGAAGAAGCAGGCCTGGAAAGAGATGACGCTGTGAGGAAATGCCAGGTCCAAGAACATCCGGGGCATTGTGGTGGTCACATAACACATCTCCAGCCAGGAGAAATTGCTCAGAAGGATGTACATGAGAAGCTGGGCCAAGTGGGTATCTACAACCACCAAGATGATAATGGTGAGGTTCTCAGCCAAGATGAGTGTGTAGAGAACAGCAAAAACGATGAGGAGAAGAAGGCGTTTGTGCTGCTCAACCCCAAATCCCAGCAGGATGAATTCTTGGACTTTGGTGCCATTATCCAACTCCATCTGGAATCACATCACAGAATATCAATCACATGCCTCCAGTAAATCTTGGCCATTGGCCTGCTTACTTACACATCTCCATGTAGTCATCCCATTTCCAACAAAACAGAGATGTTGAATGTTTCTAGTTTCCATCTCTGCCTTATTTCATGCCATATATGCTTATCCTCAAAACAATTGGTTGGAGCCCTGTTGTATGACCAATCTATGTCTTCTTTTAGTTATGGTGTAGGGAAGAGTTCCCTACCCTTTGACAAACCACTATAGGGTTTGGTAATTGGTAAGCATCCCCTCCTATAAGCTCATATTTGGAGAGCAAATGTGGGGCGACTAATTGATTTCATTAGGACTATACCCAAGTAAATTGGGTATAGGATGGCAGCTGCAGTTTCTCATTCTATCTCATAATCCTACAAATCAATCTATGTAATGTGTCAGTCTTAAAGTCAATAGTTGATGTATGTGTTGTCGAAGACTTTCACGGCCAGAATCACTGGGTTGTTGTCAGGAGAGAATGCTTCTAGAACATGGCCATATAGCCCGAAAAACCTACAATAACCCAGTTGATGTATGGTGACTCTCTGAATTTCATTATTTATTCTAGGACAATAGTATTCAGAAATGATTTTCCTATGAATATAACCTACAGCATCTGGCAATCCCTAGTATTCTTCCATCCAAGCACTAAAACTTTTTGTTCTCCTGCTTAATTTTAACAGTTGCTTCTTTATCATTATTTCAACTTCTTCTTATTTGTGGGAACCTGAACTGGTTTCCATGTCCTTCTCTCAACCTCATCAGATGGGCAGTTGGAATTGCCATGCATTGTGGCAAATCTGGCGGTGCCCATCAGGAAGCATAGGGAACCACTCGCCCCATGCCCCACATTGCCTGACTCACTCATTGGCCCACCGGCTTTCCCATTGACTTCTTCTGAACACAGGAAGCCTCCTAAGTTGCTGCCATGGTGGCCTGCACCAGTTCACTTATACTTCTGCAATGGAGTCCTGCCGGAAATTGCTCTTCATCATGGGATGGGAGCCAGTGGGCTGTGTCATAAAAATATTGGCAAACCAGCACATGCCTCCAAAAAGTACCTCATGTTGATAAGGTCATAAGTCAGCCTTCAATTGAAATTAAGATACAGAATATTTTGAATTCAGAAACACTGACATCACAGATAAGAGTGCATGCATGAAATAAAGGGAACTATATTTGAGAAAAGCTTTTGCTATGTGATTGTCATGAAGGTGGCACAAGATCATTGGGACATCCCTGTGTCCCTCACTTACAAAACTACATCTATGAATGAAAACTCACAGCATTGCTCTTGTGAGAAAAAAAATGCAAAAAAATGTACAAAATGTGTATAGTTATTTTTGGATGAGTGGACTGATGTCTCAGATTCAAATAGAAGTGGGGAGGGATGAACCCAGGCTCCAAAATCTGGCAGCCTCTTCAGAAACTGACTGGATAGAATTGTATACTACTGGCACTATAGCAAGTTGGTTTAATAAAAGACAGTGGGAAAATATTTCAAAAATATGTAAAATTTGCTAGCCATGACTAGATGAAAGCTTCTGATCAAAGCCTGGCCCGAATTAGTTTTAAATCTGTCAAAATTAGGGCTGCTGCTGGGAACTATTGACTATTTTCATCATCTGATTACTTTCTTCTACCCTTTTCCTAATTTTCTCTATCCCTACCTCTCCCTATCTCCCTCATTACCTTGTCTTCATGAATTATAATAATGCTAGTTCAAAATGTCTTCTTTAAAAAACCCAAATCTAGGTTTTTGTAGGTTTTTCAGGACATGGCCATGTTTTAGAAGTATTCTCTCCTGATGTTTCACCTGCATCTATGTCAAGCATCCTCACAACCTCTGAGGATGCTTGCCCTAGATACAGGCGAAACTTCAGGAGAGAATGCCTCTAGAACATGGCCATATAGTCCGAAAAAACCTACAACAACCCAAAATTCTTGCTGTTTTTTTCTGGTCCACAGTAAAACAGTTAATCTACTTTTTCCTGGAAGACACCACACAGTTCTTTGTGTTAGTTATAACTATTCCCATTTCTGTACCTCAGTGGAATTACAGGTGCTGATCCATCCAGGGAAAGACATGCCACCAATCCTGTTAAATCAGAGTCTAGTGTGAAAATGATGCCCTGGCTGTGTCTGTCTTTGGTGGGCATCTCTACCATGAGTGGTCTGCATGGTGGAAAGAAAGAACGTAGAAGAACTCCAGCCTCTTGCATGCCTAAGACAAGTGTTTGGTGGCACTTGAGAATGAATCCCTCAAGGCTGGGATTCATTAATCAGACAAAGCTCCATGCCTTTGGAGACAAAGTGTCTCCTGCTGCCATGATGAAATGGAGGCAATTTCTGTTGGTAGTAACATTTTAAGAATTTTAAAAGAGCCAAGTTGGATTAGCCTAGTTACAACAAGTACAACAGATTGTCCTTGGGGATGGAGAGCTGTCGCATCTTCGATTTGTGGTCCTCTTTGTCTGGTGTACAAAGCCAGAAGGTCCCTTCTGGTGAAGTGAATATATTAGCTATCATGGTTGGCATCATGTTACATGAATTTGTCTAGTTCCCCTTTTAAAAAAATCTAGAGTTGTAGTCATCACAATAGATTCTTTCACACTGTACAATTATACCACTTTGATCCTACCTTAGCTACCATAAATCGTCATATACTAAAATAACAGCCTATGGGATCTTGCAGTGTAAGGAAGGGTATTTAGAACTGTCAACCAGAGATCCCCAATGCCTCAATAAATTACAAATCACAAGATAACACATAATGTAGTTGGAGCAGTTAAAGTAGAATAATAGAACCTTCTTTTTTGTTCAACATCTTTATTAATGACGTAGATGAAGGGTGAGAAGGCACGATAATCAAGTTTGCAGATGACACCAAATTGGGAGGGATAGCCAATACTCCAGAAGACAGGCAGAATTCAAAATGATCTTGACAGATTAGAGAGATAATTGGCCAAAACTAACAAAATGAAGTTCAACAGGGACAAATGCAAGATACTCCACTTAGGCAGAAAAAACGAAATGCAAAGAATGGGGGACGCCTGGCTCGAGAGCAGTACGTGTGAAAAAGATCTCAGAGTGGACAACAAGTTAAACATGAGCCAACAATGTCATGCAGCAGCTTAAAAAGCCGATGGGATTTTGGCCTGCATAAATAGGAGTATCGTGTCTAGATCCAGGGAAGTCATTCTGCCTTGGTCAGACCACACCTGGAATACCACTTTAACTTATTCTCATGTGAAACTGAGTAGAAGGGAAAGCAGAATTGTAACACTAGGATTTGTAACTTGTACAATAGATTCAACAGAAATGATATCTGGAGCAGGCAGGGGGTTGGACTCAATGGCCCACAAAGTCTCTTTCAGCTCTCATTTTACTTCCATTAGGCTCGGAGTCAGCCCATTCCTGTCACTAGGAATTTATGGATAACAGCCTTAACATTGAACAGACCTCCTGAACATTCCTGAGCCTTCTAACTATTGCATCTAAAAGTCTAATTTCCTTTGTTTTCTATATTTCAATATGCTTATAGGAGGTGCTGTTGTTCCATTTTCCATGCCAAGGAGCCCATTGTCCATGGATGCCTTCCCAATCATATTGCCGGCATGACTTCTTCAGAGGTGCCTTTACCTCCCTGCCTATTGATCTACTCACATCACTGTTTTTGAACTGTTAGGTAAGCAGAAGCTAGGGCTGATGGCAGGGAACTCACCCCAACCCGCGGCTTGAACTGCCAACCTTCCAGTCGGCAAGATTTTCTGTAGCTAGCGGTTTAACATGCTGTGCTAACTGCAGCCCCTATTCTATAAGGACTCATATCCCTGTCCTTATGTAATATACGAGGGGTATTTTTTAAGTAAGGTCCGTTGGAACATAAGTACACAATGAAAGTTTATTTCAAAAAAGTAAATTTATTTTCAGAAAGTACATACTTCACTCTATTTTTCGACATAGTTGCCAAGTTTGTTCAAACACTTATCATACCTCTGAACCAATTTTAAAATACCCTCTTCATAAAAACTTGCCGCCTGCTCCGATAACCAAGAGTTCACTGTAATCAAAGAAGGAGCGGTCCTCATCATGGACGTTGTCACGGTCATCTTTGAATTGTCGTACCCACTTACGCACTTTGCTTTCACTCATAACAGTATCACCGTACACTTCACAAATCTGTCGATGAATTTCTGCAGCAGGCAGGTTCCTTGCTGACAAAAACCGTATCACTGAGCGAACCTCACATGCGGAGGGTGAGTTGATAGTCTTAAACATTTTTAAAGCACAGAACAGAACCGTACAGGTTAGCTACAGAGCGGAAACTGAGCACAGTTTTTCCCGAGGCATGCCGGTACACGACGCACGCGCTCGTTGCGGTATGCGCGCGAACTACTAGTGTCTACAACAAAACGGACCTTACTTAAAAAATACCCCCTGTATTCTTTTGCAAAATATGATTCACACAGAGAGAGATATGTAGAGAAGTGTTTATTATAAAGGGTTTATTGTACTGTGTTTAAACTGTATTTATGTTTTACATGCGTGGCCATGGCCTAGCTGTGAGAGATAGGTTGCCATGGTGACAAGGCAGAGGAGAAGGTGGGCGGAGCTTAAGGAGAAAAAGGTTTGAAAGTAACAGTTAATGGGGAGTCAGGAGGATGAGACCCTGAGAAGAGGAGCGGAGTCAGTTAGGGCTCTGTGTGGTGAAGCAGTATAAATTCAGTTAGTTCTTAGCATTTGTGAATATTTCTTCAGCAAGGGAGCTGAAGGTGAAACCTTGTTAGATTGCTTGTGTTAAAAAAGAATCTAACAAAGGGGGTTTTAGGGATCCCAGTAGTGAAAGACTGGAGATCGGTGGTTTGATCCGGTATAGGACAAACAGAGTGAATATTCACAACAGGGAACACTGAAATAATAAAGTACTTCACTGAAGAAGGAGTTTAAAGGATTGTAACATCAGA